TCTCAATACCATAAATGAGACATTTTCATTTTTTATAAAAACCGTGTTTATATTGTACACCTGGTTCAGTTAATCCCAGCAAGCAATTTTAGCGTTTTCTGACTGTTTTCTGATACTTTTTTCTGAGAATTTACAGTCATAAAGTGTGCACAAAAGAGTCCGGAAAGAGTGTTTTTATACCCGTTACTCGTAGAGTAAAAGGGTATATTGTATTCGTGCAAAAGTATGTAACAGCTAGAAGGAAGCGTTTCCGACCCTATAAAGTATATATATTCTTGATCAGGGTCACTAGCCGAGTCGATATAGCCATGTCCGTCTGTCCGTCTGTCTGTCCGTCTGTCCGTCTTCTGTCCGTCTGTCTGTCCGTCTGTCTGTCCGTCTGTCTGTCCGTATGAACGCTGAGATCTCGGAAACTATAAAAGCTAGAAGATTGGCATTTTGCATGTAGATTTGAGGAGTTCCTACGCAGCGCAAGTTGGTTTTCAAAATGGTGCCAAACCTTATAACGCCCACTAATCGCTTATATAACGATTTATGAATAATTCTAAATATTTCGGAAAAGTAAAATTATGCAGTTTTATTGTGTTTAATCAATACCTATCGAAATTTTTAGAAGAAATGTTTCAAATTGGACCATTCGTTAAAAAGTTATGCGTGATCAAAATTTCTATCTCCATCTCCCTCGCACTCCCTTTACCTGAGTAACGGGTATCTGCTAGTCGGGGCACCCGACTATAGCGTTCTCTCTTGTTTTCTTTGAAAACGGTCGCACTTTAAGAGGAAGATTTCTGAGTCCGATCAGACTCTTTTCTGACACAGATATCAATATTTATATTGATAAATATTGTCTTTTCTTTAAAAGTATATTTTTCAAAAAGTCTGTTAGGCAATCAGCGATTCCATAATATACTCGCCGCCATCCATTTGGACACAATAACCATCTTTAGGTGTTCTCTTTAAAGTTCTGGAATCACATGGCAAATCAGGTGAATTACGGCGCAGGATGTGCAGAAGCTCATTTAAAGCAGAGCACGATATATTGAATGCAACTGCCCAGTTTGACAATTCCTCGCGCAGGGATTTGATCTCATGCTCTTCGGAGTCTTCAGAAAGGTTACTTTCATCACTTAAATATCCATCGTTTTTAATATGGTTTTGCTCCGAGCTCCGGTGGCAGAGACTCACAGCAACATAGATTCCTCGTATTCAGGGCATTTAATATGTTTTACATTCATTTATCATAAATTTATCAAATTTAAAATTATATTTACACATTTTTTTTGTACTCTCTGAACACGTCCGACTTGCACTTGCGTATTGCACAAAGCCTAAAGATTCAATATATTTGATATTATAAAATGAAAAATATTCAGTAAAAAAAAAACCTCAACGTCAGTACCTGCGGATTTAGATACAGAAATTGTGTGCAAAATTTCAAAACGATTCGTTTAGTAGATTTTGCAGGATCGTGTTCACCGACTTTGAAATTGCAACTTTTCAGGAAGTTTTAAAGTTTTGGACACCGAAAAATCGCATACAAAACGAGCTAACTCACATTCAACTGCCCATAACTTCGGAAGTTTTAGTCGGATGAATCTAAAATTTTGACGCAATATTCTTCAAATGTTGTGCATTCAGAAAAAAGAATTTAACAAAAAAGGCCAAACAAAATATTTAAATACCCCCATTAAATACTACCTGCAATAGAAAGAAGACTATTAGATAAGATTTCTTCCAGATCCTTAAAACTGTCAGACGATAGACAGGCTAGATCATCTTGCCTGGTGTCAGAAAAGTCCATTCCTCAACTAGAAGTATAAAAATAATATGGGTCTATAAGCCTACACTTAAGGCTTTATTTTTTTCAGGGAGTCCAACTGAAGCATTTGGTCTAGATTATTTTGTAAATTGTTTTTTTTTGACAATTAAACTAAACAAGAAAATAAGTAAAATTCGGCAAGCCGAAGTATATATACCCTTGCAGTTATTACAAAACGAATGCATTAAACAAAAAGCTTAAATATTTCTAAAACAGAATTTATTCAGTCGAATACTTAATCATTTTTTATCACGAAATGTGATATTAACAAGAAAGGAAAGCTAACTTCGGGCGGAGCCGAAGTTGATATACCCTTGCAGAATATTCTGTAAATTATATTCTCCAAAATTATTCATAAACGAGGACGGAAGCTAACTTCGGCAAGCCGAAGTTTTAATACCCTTGCAGACTTTGCGGAAATTGCTAAAACTGAAAAAGTAGCGAAAGGAATAAGGTGTACATAAATAAAATAGATTTGCATCGTTTGATGTCAATTGCTTTTATACTGCAAAAATGTCATATAAAAATAGAAAAAAGGGATACTTTCGCAGCCTTTAACAATTTTTCCTACGGAAGCTATAAGATATAGACGTCCAATCGGCAAGCGCTTTTACCCTAATCAAGATATGCGTAAATAAATAAGACTTGGAAAAATGTATGTCAGTAGCTTACACACTACGCGAAAAATTCAGAAAATCATCAAATTTGGACCGATTTCACCCTGTTGTTCCTATGGGAGCTACGTGCTTTTACCCTAATCAAGGTATGCATAAAAAAATACGATTTGGAAAGATTCATGTCAATTGCTTATATACTGTGCGAAATATCCTAAAAATCATTAAATTTTAACTGATTTCACCCTATTGTTCCTATGGGAGCTATAGGATATATGCGTCCGATCGCCAAGCGCTTTTACCCTGATCAAGGTATGCATAAAAAAATAAGATTTGGAATGATTTATGTTAATAGCTTTTACACTGCGCGAAATATCTTCCATTCTTGAAAGTTATATCCGATTGTTCCTATGGGAGCTATAGTATATAGACAACCGATCGGGGCGGTTTTCAAACTTGATCTGCGTACACTTGTTTTAGGACGACTGTGAAAGTTTCAGATCGCTAGCTTTTAAACTGAGCTCGCAAACGGTATTGAAACAGACGGACAGACGGACGGACGGACAGACGGACATGGCTATATCGAATCCTCTATTGATCCTGATCAAGAATATATATACTTTATGGGGTCGGAAACGTCTCCTTCACTGCGTTACAAACTTCTGACCAAAATTATAATACCCTCTGCAAGGGTATAAAAATCCCAAATTCCTAACTTTAAAAACAACAATGTTATGGCATTTCCAATCGTTCAGTGATATGGTAGCTATAGGATATAGTCGGCCGATCCCGAGCGTTTCGACTTATATACTGCGTGCAAAAGAAGAAGGGTGTGTGCAAAGTTTCAATTCGATATCTTTAAAACTGAGAGACAAGTTCGCGTAGAAACAGATAGACGGACAGACAGGCAGACGGACAGACGGACATGCTTACATCAACTCAGAACACGATCCTGATCAAGAATATATATACTTTATAGGGTCCTTCACTGCGTTGCACACTTTTGACCAAAATTATAATACCCTCTGCAAGGGTATAACAAATTCTACTGCCACCTGTTTTGTACACATGCCCTTAAGGGTCCATTCTCGTTAGTTATTTTATAATTCTATAATTTTTTTTGCATTTTTCGATAGCTTCGAATATCAGCCTAGAGCGTATCGCAGATGCGGAGCGGCGATCGACATATCAGTCAGTGGAAGAGAAGAACTGCCCGAAAAAACGAAAGGTTGCAAGACCAGATCAATTTTGAGGAAGCCGAGGGTCTACTATATGGTCCTGGAATAGCTGATTAGCTGTAAGTATCCAGATATAAACATTTATATCGAAAAAACTGTACATAAAACTTTAAACGCATTTTCTTCAAAACTACATTTTTCGAACTGGCGACTTTCATATCTCAGTAAATTTTTAACGAATCTTAATGTTTTTTTTAATACGCGTAATTATATTGTCCATGGAAAGGACTAAAATTACATACATCATATCTCAGTAAATTTTTAACGAATCTTTATGTTTTTTTTTAATACGCGTAATTATATTGTCCATGGAATGGACTAAAATTGTATGTAGATAGCTTATTCATTGTGATTAATCGACAAAAAAGTGAAGAAAATTTTCAGTAAAAACGACACTAAACCCCGTCACACTCCTACTAAACAAGAAATTTTTGAATTTTTTGTTTTCGAAGATTTGTTCGACCGGTAGAAGAGTTGCCAGAGAGTTGCTGCTTCCGAAAATGCTTCAAAAATTTTGAAATTTTTAATCTTTAAAAATCAGAAATATACCTGAAAAGCTTAAAGTACCTATATTTTTTTCTTTGTCCAAAAAAAATTCCTGAAGATTGCCTATTTTTTGTCGATTCCGTACCTGGTGTGCTTTTCTTCTTGACTTTTTGATTCGTCCAGGCGCACAAACTCAGTGCCTTGCTGTCTGTCTCCACAGATATGTTGGTGCTCCAAAAAATCAATTACCTTTTTCTTCCAATTTTTCTGCATGTGGGACGGATTGGAGCACTTAAGGCTCTTACTTACAAAATCTGGTTTATTTTCAACGCCTTTAGAGACATTTTGCTCAGAAACTGTTTTTGCTCAGTTTTAAAGGGCTTCTTATGCGATCCTTCTTATATACTTCGATCTCCTTAAGATTCTTTATTGTTTTTGCCTGTTAAAACATAGTTTTGTCTGCCTTTGCATATCGCACTCCCTTTACGAAATATTCTACCAAACTTTTTTCGTCTAACCTAATTGGGTTGGCTATCTCCATTGCAGCATACCAAAATTCGTGAAGTTTTTCAATTTTCCTTTGCACACGTAGATTTTCCAAGTTATTTTTAGTAAATTAACGAACAGTTTTTCAGATGTGTCGATATCAAACATTATTTACTTTGCTTTGTGTTTGCACCCCTTTAGGTACACTGCTTCTTGAGACCGCTTGAACTGCCTTATGTCGAACTCCAATAAGATTTTCGTATACGGACTGCTTCTGCTTCAGTCAGAAAAAACAACCGAATCGTTTTTGATTTATATCAAAGGTAACACGGTATTCTCTAATGAGAATTCTTAAGATTTGGCCCAATTTTCTTCTTCTTTATTTATATTCTCATCTACATTTTACGTTGATAAAACCAGTTATTTTCAGTTTTTTCACAACAGTTATTTTTTGATATATAAAGACAACTTCATCCAATCTGAAAGCGTTGCAAGCTGCCGAATAACATTATATTAAGATCTGCAAGGGTTTAAAAGCGTCTCTCCTATAATGTATTCTTACAGAAATCTGACCAATTTTAGCAGAAATGTACATTTGATTAACCAAAATTGGTCGGAAATTATATATGATGCACATACAATTTTTAACTGACACTTTTCTGGCGAAAAGTTTAATCTCCTGTTCTGTTTTAATTTATTTTTTTTTTCTAAAAACTTTGTTCAGGGTGTCCCTTTTTAAGCTCAGGACAAAGCTGCCAGCCTAGCAACTGGAAAGATTGTATGCATATATGTACATACATTTACAGAGACAACGTAGATGATTTTCTAACTTTATAATCATGTTTTAAAGACTCCTTAACTCGCGAATATTTGCTATGCAGTTCTAGTTTATTCATGTTACACTCTTCTACACAATTTCATGATAAACGAGAAACAAATTAAAAATTAGCCTATCGGAATACAAATTTGAGCTCGACAAAATATTATAATAATAGAGGAATAAAAATAAAAAGTGGAGGAATACAAATGTTCCAATAAAGTCGAGCTAGCGTGGGCCGTACAGAATGCACATGCTTACAATTTTAATCTGAACGTATTTTTATGTATATTTAAAAGACACTACGCGCATTTTACAGCTGGCTATACTGCATGGATTTTGTTTCGGGTTGTTCTGTTTCAGTAATTTTTTACAAGATCAATACGAGGTATGCAAACGGTAAACGGCTATTTGCTTGGAATCCTTTATAACTTTCTTCATATTCGCGAAATGGTTCGTGTGTGACTAATATATAAAAACGTTAAGATAAGACATTTCCCCGTCACCGCGGTGGCCGCTTCTCCTGCACGCGCTGCTACGTTGGTCACTATGGTTGTCCTGCTGATATCAATAGCCGTATTTGTCTTGCCAAGAGGTCATCACGTCGTTGGCCAAATTGCTCAGCCGGCCGGCGACTTTGTGCACTCCTTGACGAACGCTCTCCTTTACGCTTTCCACATCCAGGTCGGGTGCACTAAAGTTTACAGACGATGAGTAGCCTGCTGAAAGAAGTCGAGTTTAAACTTTACAATCTTCTTCACAGGTAACAATGCGTTATTTCACTAACCCCTATTGCCCGCACTTCCACTAGGGGTGCCTTCCCCAAAGTAATCCGACGAAGATATGGCACGCGATCCCTGGAAGCGGTTTAAACTCGCGCTGACGTCAGCAGAGGATTGTTCGCTGGCGAAGTACTGGTCGGAGCCGAAGCCTTTGGAGTTTCCGAACTTTTGCTGCGCGATTACGGGATCATTGATAGCTCCCCCCTTGCTGTGACCTGAGGAGGACAAGGTGTTCAAGCCACTACTCTTCTTTGCCTGCGCCGAAGTTTTAAGTTTGTCATGCTCATTGCTGCCGGCAAACATAGACGTAATGTTGCTGTGCGAGCCGCCAATAGGTTCTATGGTCTCGTAGCCAAGGGCATCTAGTTCAAACTTATCCAGCTTGCTGCTGCCGCCACCGGAGCTTTCTCGCTTTTCGCTGGAGCTGGCTCCCCCTCCGCTACTGCTGCTGCCGTACAAAGAGTAGTCCGTAAAGAAGTTGTCGCTCTCCAAGGAGGAGAGTTTGGCCTTAGGAGCGGCCGACTGCTGTATGGTCTCCATATCGCCGAGTGCAGAGTGGGCCATGTCGGATCCACGAAGGCTGAAGCCCATACCCAGGCGCTCCATCTGCTTGGCTTTTGCGGGATCCATGTTCTTGAGCTTAGCCTCCTCCCGGGTCTTTTGCATGGAGAGCTCCTGGTACGCCAGCCGCATACTGGCCACCGTTTCTAGTTCCTCTTCGGCTGTCTGGGGCTTATCCAAAGGGACCGTAGCAACGGATGTCTTCATTTCGTTGGCCGCGTTGGCACGGGCCTCGATGTCTGCGAAGTTAGTCTTAACCTTCGTGGCTCCCAGGCCGCCAACCTTGCGGGCACCCAGCTAAAATAGAAGCGAATCGATTAAGCTACGAAATATAATGATGTCGGCTACACCTACTCCACCCTTTTTGGGCTGCACCTTGCGCGCACCGATCGAGGAGGGCACTGCTGTTGGCACCACTGAATTGAGCAGATCCACGCTGGGAGCGCCACCTAGTTGCGTCTCCAGGCTGATTACAGGAGCAGCGGTTGCTGCCTTCAGATCCTGCTGAAAGAAAGTTAAGCGTAAGTGAAGGTCTATAAACTCCAAAACTTCAAAAACTCTAAAAGCGCGTGCGTGACTCCTGGGTGTGAGTGTCGTCATACCTTGCTGACATTGTTATTCTCCACATTAAAGTCCGCCTCGTTGTCGCACTGGGCGAAAAAGTCCTCCTCCTTGGCGACCTCGTTGCCCTCGCTCTTGTCCGTTTGCTCCAGATGCAGCTGGTTAGGTGTGGTGTGTTTGGCAAGGAGTTGGAGTGGGAATTGGGAGTGGGAGGCAGGCAGAGCAGTGAAGCAAAATGTCAGTTATGAGGTTAGGTGTAATCGAACTACAGGCAATAACAAACAATGCGAGTGCTGCGGACTCACCTTCGTGCCGTGTATCTTCATGGCCTGCTGGGCCTGGGCACTCAGCTTGTCCCGGTAAAGCTGGGCCGCCCGCGAGTTGTACTTCACCTGAGCATCGGTGCTGCTGCAGTTGTGGGCCCGGAAGAACTGAGCCGCGTTTGCGTTGCCGCCGAGCTGCATCTGGCGAAGCTGTAGCCAGGTCCAGTTGGTGTCCAGGTTGGTGCTGCGCACGAAGGTCAAGTGCACGCCCAGGTTGCGGTGTACGGCGGAGCAGTCGATGCAAATGAAGATGCCGTAGGTGACGGAGGACCAGGTGGGAGCCTTGGCAGCGCAGTCGAAGCAGGACTGTGAGACAGGAGGAGACGAAAGGGAGAAGCTCCATTAGTCGGCGCCTCAAGGGCGTACTGGCGAAAGTAGGGCACTCACTTTGTTTGCTGGTTGGGCGCGCAGGCGACTGAATACCGACTCGATCTCCTGCTTGGAGGGTCCTGCAGCTGGGTTGGCCATGGCTAAATGCTATGTGTGGAATTTCTAACTCTGGATACTTAAAAATGGAACGTTGTTCGGCGCCCTTGTGTCTTTCAATGCGAATGCGATTTGCGCTGGGCAAGGGAAGCCCTAGTTACCAATCACAAACCTTTGCAAATTTCTCAACTTCTCAGAACGTACGTGGACGTGTTTTCGTTTCGTAGTACTCAACGTAGTGTTGTGTTCGTCCACTAAGTGCTGATATGCGCACCAGAGTTGGACAGCGAGGAGGCACCGGTGTTGCCACGTTTTGCTTGAGGCGCTGAGTCTATCGAATTTTAAATTTTTAAACATTCATTTACACATCGCCGCTTTAAATCGCATCAGCGAAAAAGGTTATGCGGAGCATCACACATGCCATCGCTGTTCCAAAAAGTTAAATAAAAATGGGAGCAAATTCAGTGTACTTTGCGAGAAGTAAGCACTTAACTAAACCTTAAATGCTTAATACATTTGATAATGGTCTAAATTATAGTAATCAAATCCAAAAGAAATGAAAAATTTACATTAAAAATTGCGACCGGCCTAGTAAAAGGGTAAAAATGAGTTGACTGATAACTCTGGAGATCTTTTTAAATTTTACACGGAATACTCGATTTTTTTTTCGTTTCTGGTCCAAGTATCGGCAATTTGATATTAACACATCAAACAACAAATGTTATAATATAAAACAAACTGAAAAATGTTTTTTTTTTCATTTAATGAATATTTATAAGCAATCTTAAATTAAGATTAAAAATTCATTTGAAATCGGTGTTATTTTTGGCCAAAGTACTTTGCGCACAACCTCGAGTTGCCTATCCAGTTAGGTATCGATTACTTAACTCGATTATTATTTTTACATTGGGATAACTCCATAACTCGAGTTACAAACCGTTATGTTTAATTTATATTTTAGTACGGTAGTTAAAGAATCTATTGACTGTTATGTTTTTCACGCCCCTTTGAACATGGCTATAACGCAAAAACGCAGTCCAAGTGTGAACAAGAGTTAAGCCCAATAACGATAGAAAACTCGCCTAAGTGTAAATCGGCCTTACAAATGACAAGAATACCGCCAATGGGTTTGTTAAATATGGAACGGTGAAAATATGCAATCGATTGTCTGTAGCTATCAAACATTTAAGGCACCCAAAATGCACTAACGCCAATGCTTAGCTATAAAATTAATTCAAACAATTTTTAAAATAATGAAAGCCACAAGTAGGAAACCATCCTTTTCATCGAAGCGGGGCTCTGGTCGCTCGAACACAGAAAAGCCTCCGTGTAAGGTGGGTATTTAAAAGGATAACAGACTGTTGCATCCCTTAAGTAAAGTCGCAGATTCTCTAACTAATTCTGATTTCTCATTTGTACACATTCTCGTATAGCCCCCGTCACCAGAGAACGACAAGTGCATGGATGCGTACAATGATCCCGAATACACCATGGATAAATGTGTCCAATCGCAGGCTGGATGTCAGCTCCAAACAGTGGAAAGAAGCGAGCAGAATACGCTTGCTGAGCTAGTTCACATCAAGAGCGAGCTCTTTTGCGAAGCTTTATGCGATGTCCTGGACGAGCTGGGAGACTTTCTGGATGGAGAGCAGGACGATTCGGATCTGGAAGCAAAACCAGTCATCACGCCACCGCCGCCCTCCATTTCACTGGCCGACGACTCGTCTTTGTTCACTAGAAGATCAAAGCCCGACTTAGAAGTTGAATCCTTGCAGGAGTCGGGCGAAATCTCTTCCAGTGAGGCCAACAACACTGAGGAAAGTTTATCTGGGGAGGAGAATCCCGTTCGAGGTATTAATTTCTCTGCAAAAGAATGCCAAGAGGAGGAGGATCTCCTAAGTAGTCCAGAAGCCAACTCAGGACACTGCTGGGGCAGCGTAGAGCACAAAGAAATGTTCTCCGAGAAAACGATCATAACCAAGGCCAAAGTAATCAAGCCAGACCATAGAAAACGTCGCAGCGAATCCAAAGAGCGGAAACGTGCTCGAAGAAAGAGTTCCCCGATACGAAGAGTACCTATTACTCGCAGCCCCAGCCCCTTGTTCAGAAGCAGGAGAAGGAGTTTGTCAAGAAACTCGTCCTCAGGCAAAAGAAGATCAAGCACTGCCAGCCGCAGATGGCACCAGAGCCCATCCAGGGATCAGAAACGATCTCGAAGGAGGAGCTCCTCTAGAAACCGGCTGAGGCGCTCTTGCATGCCGGTCTCGCCTAGGCGAAGATTAAGATCCAGATCTCGAAATTCGGATCGCACGAGTCGTTCCCGTTCTATAAGAAGTCGCCCCTCTGACAGAAGATTAAGACATCTTTCTCCGAGCATTAGACACAGACGTCGCAGTCCCTACCGGGGTCGGCCTACCTCGCCCGGATGTGGAAGAAGGCACGTCCGGCGACACTCGCCAGCCCTATTGTCTCGTCATCGTTCAAGAAGCAGATCTAGGTCAGCCAGGAGACTGGTACGAGAGCAATTAGGGAACAGGGTTTCGTTGCGGGAGCGTTCAAGGAGCCGGCCAGTCAGAAAACCGATCCGAAAGCGTTCTAGGAGCAGGTCCATATCAGCTAAGGTCATGCTGCATGAGGGTTCGAGAAGCGCATCCAGTTCGCGCACGGTGAGTAAAAGTCGGCCAACTAAGGCCCGCCAGCCTTCCAGGAGCCCGAAGAGTAACCTTCAGGAGCATCCGAAGAGTGCCTCTCAGAACCAGACCGTGAAGTCACTTGCGGACAAGTCCTGGATGGCCGACCAAGTGGCAAGTCCAGTCGAGGACATTCCGCCACAAGATTGCATCAAGCCGCCGTCGGTCAGGTCCTCCCCCATCTTGCCGCGGCCGATCTCCCCGATGATCACGCTTCACGACAACCGACTAACCCGCCCCAGGGAGTTGCGCCATTATCTGCTGCCTACCCCACCTGTTCCCCAAATGGTCTATACACACTATACCCAACTGGAGTACAGTGCGCAGCACTTGCCAGGCTACCTAGCGCCCGGAACTCACAACCAACGTCCACACGAGCTCGGTGCTTACGACCTGCGACACCGTTTGTCCACAACGCGATCCCTCTACTATCTGGGTCCAAACGACCTGCGTCACCGGATCCAGGACGTGTTCCGGCCGGACGTCTACTCGCCTCCTCCTGCCTTCAATGCCTACGCCGAGTGGCCCACAGGATACCCGGGGGAGTACCACCCCAGCGGTTATTACTGAGGGATTCCTCATTTATTTTTTTACCTTACGTTTGAGAACAATGGTCTTTATTTGTATTACACATGTTATAAGAGTCAAATGTAATGCCTAGATTACGGGGCGCTCTGGCTGCCTAAGGGAAACATACCTCGCCGGCGACGGGTGAAGCCGGGCCTGGGATTTTGTTTTGGTTGGAGCGAGAATATTGAACGCATAAAGTTACGACCGCAGCACTTTAGCCATGGATGGAGATCCTCAGACGGCAACTCCACTGACTTCGATTTCAGAGTCGAATTCTGGACGGGATCTTCCACGGTTTCAGCATGCAAGAATGCGAGGCGGGCTCTGTTCATACAGAAGTCCACCTTCTCTATCTTATTTTCAGTTTCGCCTAGATCTATGGTGCAGTGGTCGATTAGTTCCGGCTGTATCTGCTTCTTCTCGTCCAGGCTGGCGGCCATCCTGCAGATTATAATTCGTCTGTTTTTAAAAACAGTTTGACCGATGAAATGGACGTAGCAAGAAAGCGGTCTAGGTCTGTAGTTTCCTGTTCCTGTAAAATAAAATAAAAATATTAAATAAGTAAAAGTATAATAACTAAACTCGATTTTTTTGCCTTTTGAATGTTTTATAAACAAAATTCCTGCGAGCCGCGATCAAACGATTTTTGCACAACACTAAGCGTCGAAGCAACCCTGCGCAAGTGTTGAAGCTCGAAAAAAGTTCAGTTCGGGGAATATACATAGTGTATATATTTGGACAAATATAATAACCTTCGGCGGTGCACGGAAAATAGTCCTGCTTCCAATTTCTGCGGCTAGTTCTGATCCTTGCAGTGTTGTTTGTGGACAAATAAACTTGCATTCGAGGCACTGCCGTAACTTCTGTTTCTGTTTTTTTTCGCCAGGCCACGTCTCTTCAGCCAGGTATTATAGTCCCGTGTGGGCTGGCTGCATCCTGTTGCACCCAGTCGGCTGATTTCATTGCTAGTGGCAGCGTAGCTCTTTAAGATTCCGTTCTTCATGACCAAGTTGAGATTTTCCATTTCCATAATAAAACAATAATCGGGTAGGGCTCGCTAGTGCTGTGTTGTTTTACAGCAATGCCCGACCAGAGGCGATATTTCTGCTGCGGTCAAATTCCGCGGGATTGGGAAAAGCTCGCTGTTGCGATTAGTGATCTGAAAATGCTCTGAAATTCTGTTGGTACTTAGTATTTTTATGGCCTTGCAGAGTGTATTATTATTTTAGTCAAAAGTTTGCAAAGCAATGTCCATCCGTCCCTCAGTTTTAGAGCTATCTGCTTACTATTCCAGGTAGCGTTTATACACTCTGAACAAGCTGGATAGGGTGACTATATAATATAGCTCCCATAGGAACAATCGGAAAAAAAATTTAAAAAATATAAGTTAGTTGTTTTTAATGTTTTTTTTTTTTTTGGGATTTGATAATATTTAAATACTATGGAATTACGGTTTTAAAAATCCCATAGAAAAATCAAATAAATACAAATTAACAAAAAATTGTATTTTGCTGTTTTTCTATTTATCAAAATATTTCTATGAGATAAAGTAATTATTTACTATATCAGAATTACGCTTTTAGTTTTGTCAAAATCGGACAACAATATCATACATATGTATAGTATGTAGCTGTCATAGAAACGATGGCAAACTGCAGCGCAAAATCGAGATAGCTTCTTTGTTTTTAGTAACATAGGCATATAAATCAAAATGTAGTCGTTTTGTAATAACTGCAAGGGTGTATAAACTTCGGATTGCTGAAGTTTGCTTCCTTGTTTTTATTCACGTACCGCTTTAGTGAAAACATTGTTTCTTTGTCATCGTTGTCTCCCGATACTTCTGATGCCATTTTCAGTAGAACTCTATTCTTTCACCAATTTGCTAACAGCAGTCGATTAATCATAATATAATATTAGGACATTATTGCCTACCAGTCGGCCCATTGTATACTTCCTCCAAATCAGTCAGCTTTCATATTATTTACAGAACTTTGTAACTAGACAGCCCAATCCAATGTTAATGAACAAGAAATTCACCAACGAATTTTTCATCCATAAAAATACACGTGATATAAAGAGACGGATCATCAATAAAACATTTCCTATATAAACGGTAAATATACAGAAAAATTGTATTTAACAATGGCTAATAAATAAGTAATTTTTTTAATTTTTAACAGATCATTCTTAAGCCCGAATAATCGTTTCATTCACCAATTTAAAAAAAAACAAGTTTTTCATGCTAATAACTGTCAGCAAACAATGTCGTAATTTTTTATAAGTCCCCTTTTTTTGTGGTTTTACTGTATCACAGCTTAAAAATCTTTGAAATATGATTATGATTAAAGACCCTTGAGAAACATGAGGAATCCAATAAATTTTAAAATTAAATTACATTTAATTATAAAAATAAATGCATTAAATGCATTTTTGTTGATACTTTTTAAAGAATCGATATTTTTGAGTACCCTTTTAGTGTTGCGCAACGGTGGAGGTCATTGTACTCGCTTTATTAGTTCATTTTTCGCTGGCATTATTTTACAGCAGCTGTAAATTTCAAACGTCTGCTATTTTGATATTCTCATGACACAGCTCCCGAATTGTTTACAATTCGCGCAAGACCTTCTCCAGGCGTCATTCGAAGTTCGTTCTTGAAGCTAGGCTAACCACGCTCATTATCCATTTAACACCATTTTTAGAGGACCGAAAACTCACATATTTCTGCCCGTTCATTGGTGCTCACCTATCTTTCGCTGTCTCGCTCGCTCGCGCACACGTGCTCGACGTTTGCAACAGTAACCCTGTCCGATTTCCCTCCCCTTCGACTTGCCACGCCCAGCTAAGATGGCCCCTAAGAAGCATAGTGGATTCATGATGTTTGTGAACGAGTGGCGGAACCGTAACGCCGAGGGCCGCCGTATGACGCTAGCGCAGGCTGTTGCGCACTGCGGCAGTATTTGGGAGGTAGGTTTTCCGATTCCGCACCCGAACCAAAGCCTAACCACCGACCTCTCAGAAAATGACGGTCCAGCAGCGGGGCCCTTACAACTCGGGCGCGAAGGACGCCGACGTCATGGAACGCGGAAAGAGAGAGCGCCTCAACTGCCACGGTCAGGGAGTGTCCCAGGTGGACCAAGCCCAACGCGAGGCAGCTGAGAGTCTGATGAACATGAAGCGCAGCACCGAACGCATCGTAATAGACGCGAAGAAGTCCCATGGTAAGCTACGCATCTTAAGAGACCGACTCCCAAATGACTTCTAACATGCTTTGGTGCAGATTTGGAGAACACCAAGTTCGTCTTTGCCGCCTTTAACTTTTTCACCAAGGCCCTGACCACCGACGTCTATGTGCCCGCTGAGTTTGCGGCCTGCGAGTACTCACTCAAGGAGGGAATCAAGTCCATCTATAGCACTCTGATCGACCCCGGCCATATCATTTTTGGGCAAGGCAGCGATGCCTTGCACCACTCGTCGACCACTCACAACCTGCCGCTGCCGCCCAATGCGCTTGGGGAGAATAATATGGGCAAGTTGTACCGAAACATTGTGGACTATTTAACCAAGTGTCAGGGAGACCAGCTCGTCGTCTTCACCCCCGCGGAAAATATTTCCATGGTCAAGTCGTGCTTTCAGTACTTGGCTTGTGAGGATGAGAATGACTGCAGAGACGGGGGCCAGAAGATTCAGGTGTTCGACATCCAGTACTTGCTATTCATATTGAAGAAGGAGGTCTTGGATATCGCCGGATTGCCTGACGAAAATATCAACAAATACGTGACCGACGCCTTTTTTGGGAGGGACTTCTTTGAGTTTACGCCCGAGATCGGATGTCAGGTAAGAATACCGCTTTGAATAGTCTTTCTATGTTGAGGCTCTTCCCTAATGAATATTTTCAGTATCACGAGGAGAACGACCGCACCAAGTACTGTACTCAGAGTATGGTGACTAGATGGGCCTACACCTTCAGCGATTTTATGTGTGGCGATTTGGCCATCACTGTCAAACCCGGAAAGCACATACCCCCTAAAACGAAACCAAACTACCGGATCATTCAGTCGGACACATCCTCACTTGCGCAAGAGTCCTCTTTCGACTCTTTTTACTCGCTTCCAGGGTCGCGGGTTAAGAATGAGACCCAGTCCCGTGATACATCGCCCACTGGCAGCAAATATTCCGTAGCATCTAGCTCCTACGCTCCCGCTGACCACACCGCCTTTACCGCCGATTTAAACGAAGTTCGTGAATTTCCCAGTCTTGGCCGGCGCCATCCCAGTGGACGCTGCACCGCGGCAGCCGGTGCATCTGCTGAGAGCGAGAGAACCACAAGGGCTTGGAATTTACCAAAGCACTCGCGCCCTCTTCAAAAGTTCACCGACAACGACTTCAGTGTTACCGGCGCTGGAAAAAAAAATCAAAAATAGGGTATTGAATCTAATAACTTTATGAAATTGTTACTTGGTTTAAGTATAAGCAGATTTAAAGAATTCTCTTAATTTACGTACTTCATATGTTTATAAATAGTTTAAAATTTAATTTTTGAGGTATTGAAATAAAATTAGCCCAAACTTTCCGCTTGTTTAAATTTGTTATACATACTCTATAAAGTACATATGTATATTTCTTGGTCACCATCAAGCCGTGTCAATCTAGCAATGTTGTTTTTTCCTTCTGCTAATCTCTCAGGTGGAATGAAACGGCACAATTATAATTTGCATGTAACTAAATTTATGTTTTTTATAGAAATATAAGACTAAACAAGTAAGAAGGTACACCCAAAATAAAATTAGCCATAAAAAGAAAGGAAGCAAGCTTCGGCAAGCCGAAATTAATATACCCTTGCAGTTATTTCGATTTCTATGCCTATATTGGACAGACGGACATGGTTAAATCGACTATCCTGGTGATGCTGATTAAGAATATACGGTCGGAAATGTCTCCTTCACTGCGTTGCACACTTTTCACCAAAATTATAATACTCTCTGCAAGGGTATAAAAACAACAAAGTTACAATTTTTTTCTGATTATTCCTATGGGAACTATATGATATAGTTGCCCGATCCGGCTCGTTCCGACTTATATACTATCTGCAATAGATAGACAACTTTTAGGAAAGTTTCAAGCAGATAGATTTAAAACTGAGGGACTAGTTTGCGTAGAAAACTAGAAAACATAAATTGTCTTTCTATTGCAGATAGTATATAAGTCGGAAAGAGCCGGATCGGGCGACTATATCATATAGCTCCCATAGGAACAATCAAAAAAATATTTCTTTTATAACTTTGGTTTTTTAATTTGTTTTTTGTTCTTCGGGACTTGGTAATATTTAAATACTATGGAATTACGGTTTTAATTTAATTAAAATCGGACATCTATCATAAAAATTGAACTTTGCTGTATTTATATTTATCAAAATATTCGTTTGAGATATAGTAATTATTTACTGTTCATATCGGCTTTGGTGCTTCCTTTCTTGTTTATACATCATTTACTAACAATCTCTAGTCTTGACGAAGTGCGCAGATAACGTTAAGTTAATGTTTGCAACATTATGTAATTTACCGTTGTTCAGATCTAATCCAATCTAAATGATTTCCAAACATTGTGTTGTGAAAAACTTTTGAAGTTCAATAGTGGGAAATGCAATATAAACACATTTTTTCAAGTCAACTCGAAGTTACTGGAATTGTCGCAAGAGCGAATAATTATCATACTTGTTAATGTAGAGTCCCGTGTAGTTTTTATACCATCTTTGATATCTGAGCTACGGCACGTGTCATCTTTGGCATTTATCTATAATTTCCATCTTATAGACAAGCTCTTGCCTTTGGAAATAGTTCGAGCGTATTGCCGTATTGTGTTTCGTTATTTGTCTGCAATCTGGATCCATACTTTAAGTCATTATCCCCTTACACTTAAGATGTCCCCACAAGTCCCTATGCAAGCACTGAGGTCCATGCGACTGTGGACGCAGGACCTTATGGCTACATGCGTTCTGAGCCAGGACGGACACTAAGCAGGACACCACCCGACTTTAACCATAAATTCAATGATGATGTGATTCCACAAAGGTAGCTGCAGCATTAGCCCAGAAGCTATTTAACAGGGTTCTTATTCTCGGTTCTTAGTAATTTTTAAATACCATGAATTACGGTTTTAATTTAACCAAAGTCATCGGACACCTATCATGTATTGAACTTTGCCGTATCTAAAACGATCAAAATATTCGTTTGATAGAATATCTGCCCATATGACATCTTCCTTTCTTGAAAAACATCCTTTGACTAAATTTAAAAACAAGCAAAAGCTAGTCTTCGAGCCGAAGTTGATATACCCTTGCAGATAACTCTGTTAAGTTATATGTTTGCAAAATTATGTCATATACCGTTGTTCAGATCTTAATCCAATCATAAATGATTTCCCAACATTGTGTTGTGAAAAACTTTTGAAGTTCAATAGTGGGAAATGCAATCAGTTATATGGCAGCTTTTTCATATAGTCAACCGATCCTTATGAAATTTGGTAGGTCGGATTGATTGCGACTAATTATAAAACCCATTGGTAATGTAGAGTCCCGTGTAGTTTTCAAACACAACTTTGATATCTGAGCATTTCCGATCAATCAGTTCTATGGCATCTATAGGATATAATTTGGCCGATCCTTATAGAAATTTGGTAGGTTGGAATGATTGTTCAAACGTATAAAACCCATATTGAATCCCAGTTTCCTAACTTGTCTGCAATCTATACCATAAAGTAATGGCATTATCCGCTTAATCAGTTAAGATGGCCCCAAGCCTATAGGATATCGAGGTCCGATGCCGACCGTTACCAGGACCTTATATACATGCGTTCTGAGCCAGGACGGACACTAAGCAGGACACCACCCGATAGCTTTAACCACAAATTCAATGATGATGTGATTCCACAAAAGATAGACTGACAGACGGACAGACAGCTATTTAACAGGGTACGAATCCGGATCGTACATTTTGCAATATCAACTCAGGAGGTGATCCTGATCAAGAACCTTATGTATTGTCTGCCGATCTAAAAGTCGGAGATGTCTCCTTCACTGCGCAATGACACCCGTTTCAAAAACAGCCTCGGACTAAATTTAAAAATAAGCAGATACCCTGTCGGTTCACAGAGATCAAAGTTATTAAGTGAAGAAACCTATTTACCTAAAAAGACGACTGGTTCACACACTCTGGATCAATATTAATAATATATTTCAATATTTCAAAGAAAAATGCCAGGTACATCTGCAGAAAACATACATAACTATAACTAAACCGCCAGGCGACAATAACATACTCAATAACAATACGAAGTCTAATTTGATTAAAAAACAACAAAGTAATACGGTCTTGGCCGGATTGGTTCTTATTGTGAGCTTTTTAAGAATCAACCAATTTAATTAATTTTTTCGAGCGGAGCCCTATTCCATTGGGCCGTAAAAACGAGATCGCAAGAGGTAATACAAGGACAATAAAGAGACAAACAGACTACTAACAGACAAAATACTAATATTAATTAGTGAGCATAGTCTTTATTTGCCATAAACACTCTAACCTTCAATGACTCAAATTAGCGGAACAAGAAGATTGAGAAGTGTAGGCGATCTAGTAACTCTAACCTCTTTGAATAATAAACAAGTAAGGAAAGCTAACTTCAGGCGGAGCCGAAGTTTATATACCCTTGCAGAATACTCTGTAAATTATATTCTTCAAAATTATTAATTTGATGCATTCTTAATACTCATAAAAAATCCAAACTTCCTAACTTTAAAAACACCAAAGTTATGGCATTTCCAATCGTTCAGTTATATGGCAGCTATAGAATATAGTGGGCCGATCCTTATGAAATTTGGTAGGTCGGATTAATTGGCCAAATATAAAACCCATAGAAAATCCCAACTTTCTAACTTTACAAACACCAAAGTTATGGCATTTCCAATCGTTCAGTTATATGGCAGCTATAGGATATAGTCGGCCGATCCTTATGAAATTTGGTAGGTCGGATTGATTGGCCAAATATAAAAAATTCCAACTTCCTAACTTTACAAACACGAAAGTTATGGCATTTCCGATCAATCAGTTATATGGCAGCTATAGGATATAGTCGGCCGATCCCGACCGTTCCTACTTATATACTGCGTGCAAAGGAAAGAAGGGTGTGTGCAAAGTTTCAATTCGATAGCTTTAAAACTGAGAGACTAGTTTGCGTAGAAACAGACAGACGGACGGACAGACGGACATGGCTATATCAACTCAGGAGGTGATCCTGATCAAGAATATTAGAGGGTCGGAGATGTCTCCTTCACTGCGTTGCACACTTTTGACCAAAATTATAATACCCTCTGCAAGGGTATAAAAATAAGTGGAATAACTTTCGTATAAAAATAGTGCCAAGCATCGTTCTGCGGTTGGCTAGTAATTGCAAGTTATTGTACCCTTGCAGAGGGTATCATATAGCTGCCATATAACTGATTGATCGGAAATGCCATAACTTTTGTGTTTGTAAAGTTAGAAAGTTGGGATTTTCTATGGGTTTTATATTTGGCCAATCAATCCGACCTACCAAATTTCATAAGGATCGGCCGACTATATCCTATAGCTGCCATATAACTGAACGATTGGTGTTTTTAAAGTTAGGAAGTTGGGATTTTTTATGAGTATTAAGAATGCATCATATGAATAATTTTTGAGAATATAATTTACAGAGTATTCTGCAAGGGTATATCAACTTCGGTTCCGCCCGAAGTTAGCTTGCCTTTCTTGTTTAGAATAAGTCTACTATAATTAGATGTTAGTATTAGTTTTGCATCACAGTTAAGTTCTATTTTTCTATTTTTATAAAAGGTTTAAGATTTTAAAAGGAAACACCATTACTTTTAGAAAAATGTACCCTAGAATAGATTTTCGATGTCAAAAAAAAATGGTAGAATTTCTTGCTTTTAAAGTTAATTTTATTTTACGTGTTTTGTCGTGATGTTAAAAAGCTTTAAAAATCATCTTAGGGTTGATTATTTATTACGTTAACGACCTTACAATTAAAATCCTTTCTAAATCAGCATAGTTTAGACTTTTGTTTTTTGCTGATTATAAAAAACCCCTTACGAAATCGATTTAGAATAAATATTGTATATTTTAATTTTAGAAATCCCATTAATTCGAGGTTGCGATTAATATACTGGTTTATAATACAAAACAAAAAAAGTACATGTGCAAAATAACGTTACTGTGAATATCCTTAATATTACACTACAATAGCCTCGCAACTTTTCTCTCCCGGAAGAGAACACTTGGAACTGCGGGTAACCAGGGCGATACTTTGCGAATCCTGCAGAAGCACGAGTCGAGTAAAGGCCAAGGTAAGTAAAAAGGCCTGTCCCAGAAGCTCGCGCTGGTAGCGCTCCTGCTGCGAAAATATGAGGCGTAGGTCGGCGGGAAAGAGCACTTGTTGGCGCAGGCTCAGCGAGGAATCTGTTTTTGGGAGCTCATGTTCCACGTTGTAATGGGTCCGCATCATGGCCAATATTGTGTCCTCGGACGACACGCGCTCCGTGCCTACCAGGTGATTGAAAAGGCGGGCTGAGAGAAACCGGCGCATAAAGTAGAGGCTGTTGGCCTTGTTTTCATCGGCATCCGACCGGGACATTAACGAGTAGCTCATGATGGCCGCCACCTGCGCTTTCTGGATGTTAACGTTCTGTTGATCGATGCTGCCCGGGTTGCTACTGGCTTGGGCCATCTGTGGACTCTCCATGACGTAGCAGTCGGCATGCGGTATTTGGTGGGAGACGTAAAGGCATCGCCGGGAAAGCTCTGACAAGTGGAGCTTCTTGTCATTGAGCTCATGATGATGCCAGTCGGTAAGCATACAGGGTGAATCGCCGCTCCCGATTTCCAACCGCGCCCAGCTTACACTAGTTACCCCGATGCGCACGCCCACAGAGGAGGCTATCCGTTGGCGTTGCGCTTCGTCAATGGGCGGTGTAATGAAAGGCGCCACTCGAGCTGCCTTTGGCTTTCCGACAGCTCCGCTGCTCCTACTTCCCAACGGCTCAAGCAGACTCTTGAAGAACTTGATGGCAACCTTCAGGCCGAATCCCTCCACGTAAAGGATGTCACTGAGGTCTTGCAGCGGACCGTGTCGTACCTTCCAGTTGTGCAGCTTGGTGGCCCTCGACTTGGTTATGTCAAAGCTGGATCGAATGAAAAGCTGAGATGGGACTCCAGATGTCTTCTCTACCTACCTGGTCATCTGATCCATGCTTTTTTCGTTTATGGCCTGCAGGATCTTCAGGCGTTCTGCATCCGAGTACGCGGGCAAGAGACTGCTTGCCTGGTCATTTTCCGCTTGGCCAGCTCTGTGCTGCAGCCTGGCTGATAGCCTTAGGAAACCAATACAAGGACCGAACAACGACCGTCTGCGCAGCATATTTCGGCACTTATATATAAATATATTTATCAGCACACTTTGTTGTTACTTAATTCCATGCCGGCCAGTCAGCTGCGCGATTAGTGTGACCAAGTTGCGGTCACGCAATGATCATCGATGACTTTAATTTTCATCGTACATTATAATTGTTAACTATCGATGCAATTAAAAATAAACTTATAGCCTATTTACACCGGCAACGTTTTCAGCAGGAATTTATCGATCAGGGAGTGGTGTTTCCCACATCACTCTCCAAGGGGAAGATGGAGAATTTGGTGCCCGACTGATCTATTTATAGACAATTTTCGGTACCTCTGAGTATAACTCCCCTCCTCCACCAATTTGCTAACAACAGTGGATTAAAACATTTGCAAAATTTTTATTTAGTTTTGCGTTATTATCTGTTTTATTGGCAGGACAACTAAATTTTCACGTTCTTTTGTTCTTAGGCGGCCTGTGTGATTGGTCGAAACTATTTCTCGGTACAACTGTTTTAGCGGATGTAAAAAAAATGAAACTATATTTGACGATTTTCAGGTTATCCTTCGATCGTTGCCATGGTAGCTATATAACATAACATACTCGTACGATTTTGTTTAAAATGACAAACCTAAATTGTTTGTTATCGAGTTAAAATCAAAAATAGATGGCGGGTCTAAATTTCAGATAAACTCAACTAAACGCATTACCACAATCCAAGTGTAAACGTTCCAAAGTTTGGGTTGAATTTGGCTATTATCAAATCTGTCAAAAAAAAGCCAGTTGACAATCGGTGAAAATAGACACATATAGCTGCGAAATAGCTAAGCGTGCAACTCAGCTGGCTCTCACCTTCTCTGGCTGCGTTAACTCGAAGTTCCAATCGGAACTTTGATGGCAGACGTGCGTCGTTTGTTGAGCGGGTAGTGGCACAAATAAAACCATAAAAAGCGTAATTTTAATTAAATTAAGACAATAACAACAACTGTTTATGGGACTTGGTTGCTTCGCCATAAGTAACACCAAACTCACACACGCGCCCGTAAATTTCAAAACATCTGTCTGTACGGATGCGGGTGCACAGAAGTGAAATTTTGCAGCGACAAGTGAAAGAGAAACGGAGAAAGGTAGCATCAGAGCCAACTGTAAGTCCTGGCCATGTCATCAGTGGACTTCGAGATCAACAGCTGCCGTTACAACAACAACACGTACGGATATGCGAATAACAACAGCGTTATGCAGAAGCCAGCACCCTTCCCCTCGGCGCCCACCGCCACGCAGCTGATCCAGGTCAGCTGTTCCGAAGGTCTGGAGGAGGACGCACTGGCCAGCTGTCCGGCCAGCATACCCGATCCATCCTCTGCCGCCCTCGCACTGGATTCTCCGGAGGACAGCGAGTGCGATCCCTTTCTCGCCAGCAACGCCACCAGTCGAAGGGTCACCCGCTCCTCCTCCGTGCTTCGCAGCCGGATGCGTTACTCTTGGTGGGGGCGCGCCAACGGATTCCTTACCCGAAACTGGTACCTGGGCTGTCTAGTGCCCGCCTCTATTCTGGGCGCCCTGATCTTCATCGGCTGGGCGACACGGGACTACGCCCGGCGGCTGCTCTTCTGGATCGAGGTGCAGAACCCTTGGCTGACTTTCGCCGTGTACATGGTGCTCTTCGCTCTCGTCAGCTTTCCTGTGGTGGTGGGCTACTTTGTCTTGCTGATCACCTCCGGATACCTGTTCGGCTGCCTTCGCGGCTGGCTCACCGTCATTGTAGGCGCTAATCTGGGCATCGCTGTGGCCCATGCCACCATTCGCAGCTGCCGGCACCGCATTCCCGTGCAAAGGTGAGTGCTCTTTCAAATATAAAATTAATATTTAAAAACGCAACATTTCTAAAACTGGATATTCTTGGTTAAATAAATCAATAATGAAAGTCATGAAAAATAGTACACATGTTTACAGTTTATAAGCAGATTTGACATGAAGGAGTAATCAGAACTGAGCCTTTCTACAACAAAACAAACAAAAACTATTTCGAATGCAATATTTGAAATAATCACAGAAAGAAATGCCCCATTAAATCAATCCAATTTTTAGTTTAATTGCTACAACGGGCAATTTGGTTGAATTTGCCGATTATTAACTATAATAAAGATCAAACTTTTTAACTTTAATGAGAATTATAAACACAGAAGGACAATAAATACAAATAGTATAAATTTTATTGATGCTTTACCATTAGTTGCGGTAAGCGAAACAAAAACTAAATACATATATGTAAGCTACAACAAACTACATTAATTTAAAATTTATTCGACCTGCTACTAAATTACTAATGGGTTGTCATGAAAATATGAGAAAATAATGTTACAGTAAATTATGTGTAAATGTTTGTTAATTGAACCAACCAAATTTGTTCTGTGTAGTACACAGGTAGAAATAATTAATATCGTTTAATTTTGCTCAGATGGGCTTTAAATTTTGATGACGAGTTTTTAATGAAATAAGTTATTCTCAAAATAGTATAAAGAAATAACGAAGCTATTATTGTATAATGCAATATATTATATAATATATATATATATATATATAAAAAAAGTTTCCTCGCTCTACACGTTTGCAAATATGCATTGACGTCATAATAAACACTTAATGTATCCTATAACTTTTTTTAAAGAAATTATGCGATTTCTGGTGAGTCCATAGATATTGATCGAACAAGTATTTTTACAGTTTTCACAGTTATAATGTCTCTAAAGTGTTTTTTTTGTGAGCGCCCACTTTGCGTGGCATCATAACCTGGCGCTGCGTAAGAAAGTCTAGAATCTTCATTATAAATCCTAAATCTCTCCGAGATCTCGACTTATATACGGACTAACTGACGAAGGAGAGTCTATAACTGCCATATAACTGAACGATCGAAAATGCCATAACTTTAATGTTTTTAAAGTTGGGAGTTTGGGATTTTTTATGGGTTTTATATTTGGCCAATTAATCCGACCTACCAAATTTTATAAGGATCCGTCGACTATATCTTATAGCCGCCTTATAGCTGATTGATCGGAAATGACATAACTTTGGTGTTTGTAAAGTTAGGAAGTTGACATTTTCTATGGGTTTTATTTTTGGCCAATCAATCCGACCTACCAAATTTCATAAGGATCGGCCGACTATATCCTATATAATTAATTCTATGACCATTATTGCTCGTTACTGTCACTCAGCCGTCTATATCCTATAGCTCCCATAGGAATAATAGGGCAAAATCGGTCCAAACTTGATGTTTTTCAGAATATTTCGCGCAGTGTATAAGCTATTGACATAAATTTTTCCAAGTCTTATTTATTTACGCATACCTTGATCAGGGTAAAAGCGCTTGCCGATCGGACGTCGATATCTTATAGCTTCCATAGGAATAATTGCTAAAAGCTGTGAAAATATCCCTTTTTATACCCGTTACTCGTAGAGTAAAAGGGTATATTGTATTCGTGCAAAAGTATGTAACAGCTAGAAGGAAGCGTTTCCGACCCTATAAAGTATATATATTCTTGATCAGGATCACTAGCCGAGTCGATTTAGCCATGTCCGCTGTCCGTCTGTCCGTCTGTCCGTCTGTCCGTCTGTCCGTCTGTCTGTCTGTCTGTCTGTCTGTCTGTCTGTCTGTCTGTCTGTCCGTATGAACGCTGAGATCTCGGAAACTATAAAAGCTAGAAGATTGGCATTTTGCATGTAGATTTTAGAAGTTCCTACGCAGCGCAAGTTTGTTTCAAAATAGTGCCACGCCCCCTTTAACGCCCACAATAGCTTATATACGATTTTAAAAATTTAAATATTTCGGAGAAGTAAAAATGCAGTTTTATTGTGTTTATCAATACCTATCGAAATGTAGAAGAAATTTTTCAAATCGGAGCATTCGTTAAAAAGTTATGCGTGATCAAAGTTTCTATCTCCATCTCCCTCGCACTCCCTTTACCTGAGTAACGGGTATCTGATAGTCGGGGCACCCGACTAAAGCGTTCTCTCTTGTTTTCTATGTGTATATGTCTGCAAGGGCATTAAAACTTCGGCTTGCCGAAGTTAGCTTCCGTCCTCGTTTTTGTATAATGTAAAATTTTTATACCATTTTTTTCCCGATCGGAAATAATCAGGAAAAACTCACTCATCAATTATTGGTATAACTACCTAAGATGAAATTAAAAGTCAAGGACGAAATAGGGACGAACAAACTAAATTAATGTACATACCAGACGAAATACAAACACTTACTTCATTTTAAGTATGATAAAATAAACGTTTTTAAGATTGGCCATGATCCGCAGTAGCAATATTGTGGTAGAGTCTAGTATATTTATGGTCAGAAAAATAAAGTTTTGAATGGCTTCACTGAGATACCTCGTTGTGCTATAACTTAAAATCCATTTTATAAGATCACATGGAAACCGTAAGACTTATTAAACTTGCAAAATCAAATGCTTTGCTAAAATTAGTGTAAACTTTTCCATTTATTAAAAATTACGTTACCTTCAAAAGGTTTTTTGTCGTAAAACATTTTATTACAATTTTATGTTGACAAGTGGGTGTTAATAACATTTTAAAAAATTTTTAAATAGTAGACATCTTAGAGGTTTTTACATGAAGGTGAGAAGTTTCTAATAAAAAGGTAAAAAATTTATGTAGTGATCTGCGTAAGGTCCCAGTGCGGTATCTGTTTGGAACTTTGTCGAAACCCGATTATAAGACTGGCTTAACCCTTTCAAGGTACAAGATATAAGTCGCAATAAAAAATGATTTCTACAATATCTATCGACCAACCAAAACTTTTCAAATGAAACCATTATTTAAAAGGTTATTAGTACAATACCTTAAGTTTTTTTTTTAAAAAAAAGGAAGTTCATCTCATTTTATTCATAAAAAATTATAAATTCTGACTTAAGGTTTGAGTCAACAGAATTCCAGACTCCAGCTCCCCGAACGGACGATTAAGCAAGCTTAGAAGTTGTGTACTTACCCAGAAAAACTTCGGTGCTGAGAATCTCTGGCTTTAATACGGTCTTGATTGGACAATAGTATTGGATGACAAGATCTATCAGAGTAAAATGTAGTCAACTTAGTAATCAAGCTTCTTGTTGATGTTTTTGAGAAAAATATTCTGATTTTGTGACGAAAATTAATTTTAGTTTTGTGTACAGAATTACAACAATTTATATAATCTTCTCAGTCGGCACTCTGAAAGGGAAACTATCGCATACAAATACAAAATAAAGAGCAAACATATTGAGCAGATCAGAGCACCCAATCGTCTATCTGTCTCAGCCCAGTCTTGTCTCGTCCATTTAGTCCCCTCTGTACAGTGTGTTTTCTTTAATTCTTTAATTCTTCAATGCTGCGTTCTGTTCGAAATTTCAAGTTTTTTTCATGGCGTTGCGTGCGTCGAAGGTACGCCGTATTGGCCGCTTCGGATCGGAGTGACGTCCATCTAGTTCTGCCAACGGTCCTGTCCTCCGAGTTCGCCAAAAGAATTCAACCGCTCCCAGTACCCGACCTGATCGAGAAGTTTTCCCGCCACTCCCCCGGCGGTCAGTTTGCCACAATGGCCGATCACCTCCACAGCGATCCGAAGCCCAACGCAGTTATGGTGCCGGAAGAGATCGTCCTGCACCGAAAAATGACTTTGGATGACCTGAACGCTTATATGCAGGCAAAGGACGCGTTTAACGAGCCCCAAAGGAAAAACCGGATGTTTGCGCACGTCCTTGTGGTGGTCGGAGCTAATTCACTCGGCAGATGCCCTCTCCGGCAGAAATGCGAGTTTCTCTATCTCTGCGACTGCTTAAGGCCAGGAGCGACCCTGGTACTCCACCGCAGCCGAAAGCGAAAATCTGGAGCGTTGCTGTTTCTTTCCGGGGAAGTGGACTCGCAGCTGTCCACGATTTATAGCCATATGCACCACGTGGACGATGTTCTGCCCCTAGCCATGCTAAAGAAGAGTTTGCTGTGGCTGCTAAAGGATCAATCTCCCGAGCTTTGGCACTTCCTAGAGCCCTCGAGTCCAGTCAGCCGGATAGTGAAAGAGGCGGCCGAAGAGGCCAAGAAGCCTCTTAGCAACCCCCGGTACATCCTCCAGTACACACGCACCGTAAAAACCTCGCGGGAGCTGAGTGCCCTTCGTCGGGCTAACGCTATTGCCGCAGACTCCATGGCTGAAGTGATCGCCCAGCACCAGCGCATTCCCAAGGAGCTGGCTATATCCTTCGACTACAAATGCCGAATGCGGCACGCCCATCCGAACGAGTCAAAGGTGTCAGGTGGGCCAGATGGCAATGGACTGTGGCAGATGGATGCTGGCTGCCAGTACGGAGGATATCAAGGCGGACTGGCCAGGTGCTGGCCCAGCTCAGGCCGGTTCACGCCGCCTCAAAAAATGCTTTACGGTGCTCTGCTGGACATACGGCGCGATCTGTGTTCGTTGATTCAGTCCACTGGAAATGAAGGTGCCGTACGCACACCCCTGGAACTGCACGCCGCATACCTAGTTCTATTGGCGCGCCACCTAAGGGAGCTCCGGGTGTTACCCAAAGGCGACAGGAGTCCAGCCGAGACTGTCGAGGTGGCTCGCAAGTACAACTGTACGCCAGTCGTCGTCTCGCACATGGGACTTGATAAACAAGACACCAGTCGGAGACTCCTCGACTACCCATTCGCTCCAGGGAACGTGGTGTCGCTGCGCCTGTCCATCTCCATTCCCGACGACTGCTGTCAGGCGTATCCCGAGTTCAGGGGCACTCTTTGTCAGCTCGGCGACACCCTTCACATCCGGGATGACTACTCCGTGGAGGTGCTCACTGCCCTCTGCCCTAGCGAGTGCCAGGCAATTGAAGCAGTATGCTTACCTGCCAGCCGGGCCAGATCCCCACGTGGGGATGTTGTGGGCAGATCAGCGCGGATCTGGTGATATGCGCCGGCTGAATGACCTCGCTGGGGGTGTCTGAAAACCCACCCACCACAACATATATATTTGTGCTTTTGTATCGTAAATATTAAAACACTATTTGTCATAATTAGACTTGCTTTTGGGTGATTATTATATTATCCACTATTATCCATATTTAAACTTAAAAATGGGATATTCCTATAGCAGCATATGATATATTTCTTCCATTTGTATACCCTTGTAGAGGGTATTATAATTTCAGTCAATAGTTTGCAACGCAGTGAAGGACACATATTTCGACCCTATAAAATATATATATTCTTGATCAGCATTACCAGGAGAGTCGATCTAACCATGTCCGTTTGTCCGTCCATCTGTCCATCCGTTTCTACGCAAACTAGTAGCTCAGCTAAAGAAACTCTTTCAAACGTTGTCTTCATATTGCAGGTAGAAACGATGGCAAGATGCAGCGCAAATTTCATTGTGTTTAGTAATATAGGCATAGAAATCGAAGTTTTGTAATAACTGCAAGGGTATATAAACCTCTGCTTGCCAAAGTTTGCTTCCTTTCTTTTTTAAATTTAAAACCTAAACTTGTCAATTTTTCTATTGATTATTGATAATGATCAAGAATACAAATACTTTATAGGGTCGTTAAAGTCTCCCTTACTGCGGTGCAAAAATACAACATTTCATAAAATTCAAGGTCTAGTCATTTTACTCGTTGATTCATACTTCGTTTGGTTTCTTTAAGACGGTGACTTTTCAGTGCCTTATCAGGCATTTAAAAATAATTATGGCGCAACTGTCAGAAATAATTGAGTATAACAAAAACTGATAACAGTATATTGTTACACCTCCTTTAATTACAAAAGTGGTTTTCACTGTTGCATCGGAAAAATACTTGAGTATAAATTATAACTTTATTTTTGTTTAAACATCCAAAGAAATTTTTAATATTTTTAGAAATTCGTTGTTAATTTGATTTTTTTTTATCGGACGACTGCATCAAATAAAATAATAGAAAAACTTCATTGTTTTCAACATATACGCATATAACTCGAAAAACATTTTAAAATATCAAAAGAACTATGCTGCCACTGGATTGAAAAAGGTTCACTTCACAAATTCATTCCACCAATTTTTATGGTGCATCGTGAACTGGTTGACTGCCGAACAGTAGAGCTAGCTTACAGCCCCTACAATCAGTTCCTGATTGTGGGTTAGATAAACGCATACAGAAGCTATAAGTACCCCGCCTTAAGTAAAGGTTTTTTTACGTATCTAATTTGTCCGTTTCGTTTGATTCATTTTGCAGGCTTATCAAGAATGAAACGGGGCGAGCCATTCTCCGCGTGATATCTGGACCAAAGGCATTTAGGGTGGTGCTCTTCACACGACTTACCCCCATTCCCTTCGGAGTACAGAATGTGATATTCGGAGTAAGTCATTCAAAGGTCGATCTGGCCAGCTCAATCAGAATGCCAGATGCGAAAGTGTCTTATATTATTGAATTGTTAAATGTTATTTTTTTATTATTCACAATTTATTTATGTAGAAAAATCTGTGAAAGTCTAATTTCACGGATTTAAGGGCGTTTAACGTTGAATAATAATAGAGATTATATATTTACATATTCGTAAACCAAACTTACACTTGATGTGATCCCTGGCCCGGTTAAAAAACTTATAAAAATTATTATTTTCGCAGATCAGTTCCATCAATACGAGAGACTACCATGTGGCCACAATGATTGGGCTTCTTCCAGCCCAAACTATCAATGTTTACTTGGGCTCCACCCTAAGGTCCATGCACGAAGTGCTTAATGACAATAATACCAAGTTGACAGGCTACATTAGCTTTGTCATTGAGGTAAGTTCGTTCCGGATCGTGATGACTTATAAACTTGGATATTAGTTAATGTAATTTGAAATTTCTTGGCAATCCAAAAGTATTTATTTTTGATTTTCACTTTCAAAAACGTTTGAATACCTGTTTAGTTTTCTTCGCAAAATAATAAAATGTTAACAATTAGTTTATATTAAAACCAGAAAACCCTTTATACAAAATTCAAGCTTTTGATACTAAGCTAGGATCGACATCATGTAAAAATGTCCCACCATTCGCTTTTTATACCCTTGCAGAGGGTATTATAATTTTGGTCAAAAGTGTGCAACGCAGTGAAGGAGACATCTCCGACCCTATAAAGTATATATATTCTTGATCAGGATCACCTCCTGAGTTGATATAGCCATGTCCGTCTGTCAGTCTGTCTGTCCGTCTGTCTGTCCGTCTGTCCGTCTGTCTGTTTCTACGCAAACTAGTCTCTCAGTTTTAAAGATATCGAACTGAAACTTTGCACACACCCTTCTTTCCTTTGCACGCAGTATATATGTCGGAACGGCCGGGATCGTCCATATAGCTGCCATATAACTGATTGATCGGAAATGCCATAACTTTGGTGTTTGTAAAGTTAGGAAGTTGGAATTTTCTACGGGTTTTATATTTGGCCAATCAATCCGACCTACCGGATCGGCCGACTATAGCCTATAGCTGCCATATAACTGATTGATCGGAAATGCCATAATTTTGGTGTTTGTTAAGTTAGGAATTTGGGATTTTCTATGGGTTTTATACCAAAATTTCATAAGGATCGGCCGACTATATCCTATAGCTGCCATATAACTGAACGATTGGAAATGCCATAACTTTGGTGTTTTTAAAGTTAGGAAGTTGGGATTTTTTATGAGTATCAAGAATGCATCATATGAATAATTTTGAAGAATATAATTTACAGAGTATTCTGCAAGGGTATATCAACTTCGGCTCCGCCCGAAGCTAGCTTTCCTTTCTTGTTTTTTATTGTTTAAGTACCCAATTTTATAAATGTACGGTCTTCTTTGATCGGTACTCGACCTTGATCAACTTGATTGAAATAGATGGAAAACGACAAAAGTTTTAAAGTTTTAATAATAACACAAGCTTACACAAGCCAACCAGTAGTGTAATTAGCAGTCGCACAGTAATTGATTAAATATATTAGTTACAATATTAATCAAAGCAACGATCAATAGTTTTGTTTTCAATTTTACACTTCAAATAATACCAACTTAACTTAAACAATGTTGTTCACTTTGAATGTTTTTCTTTTTATACCCTTGCAGAGGGTATTATAATTTCAGTCAAAAGTTTGCAACGCAGTGAGGGAGACATTTCCGACTCTATAAAGTATATATATTCTTGATCAGCATCACCAGGAGAGTCGATCTAGCCATGTCCGTCTGTCCGTCCGTCCGTTTCTACGCAAACTAGTCCCTCAGTTTTAAAGCTATCTGCTTGAAACTTTCCCAAAAGTTGTCTTTCTATTGCAGGTAGTATATAAGTCGGAACGAGCCGGATCGGGCCACTATATCATATAGCTGCCATATAACTGAACGATCGGAAATGCCATAACTTTGGTGTTTTTAAAGTTAGGAAGTTGGGATTTTCTAAGGGTTTTATTTTTCGCCAATCAGTCTGACCTACCAAATTTCATAAGGATCGGGCCACTATATCATTTAACTGCCATATAACAGAACGATCGGAAATGCCATAACTTTGGTGTTTTTAAAATTAGGAAGTTGGGATTTTCTATGGGTTTAATTTTTGGCCTATCAATCCGACCTACCAAATTTCATAAGGATCGGCCGACTATATCTTATAGCTGCCATATAACTGAACGATTGGAAATGCCATAACTTTGGTGTTTTTAAAGTTAGGGAGTTGGGATTTTTTATCAGTATTAAGAATGCATCATATAAATAATTTTGGAGAATATAACTTACAGAATATTCTGCAAGGGTATATCAACTTCGGCTCCGCCCGAAGTTTGCTTTCCTTTCTTGTTATAAACTGTACTAGCAATAGCAAATAGTTGGAGAAAACAAAACTATTTCTAATCTATGTTGTCTCTTTGAAGGTCATTTGTGGCGTTGTTCTGATGTTCTGGGTTGTCCAAAAGGCGAGGAAGGAATTATCAGAGACGCTGTTAGCTGCTGATTTTAATAATGAGGACAAACACCATGACATACAAGTTTAGGAGGAGCCAACGTGGAAAGGAGAGCCCCCACAAAAAACATGAGAGCTTTTTCAGCCCAAGTATATCTCCTGGACTGCAGGTCAAGACTGCATTTTTGCATTAACTATTTTAAGCAAAGGTGATTTTCAAAGTTTTTTGTATTTTATTCTATGCTCAAAGCAATGCCATCGATACCAAACATTACGCTATTCTAAGCAGTTACACGTTTTCTTTGAAACCGCGCCCAAAGGAAGCCACCACGCTCCACATCACAATTTAATTTTTAAAATTAAGTATATTTATTACTAAGTAAAAGCCTTGGTCAAAAATCGCTTACTTTAGGAAAAGATTATCGGTCATAATGCTGCTCTATAACGTTGTTCAATTACTAGATTGTAAGCAAATCGAATAAATGAGCTCTGAAGTACAATTGTCAGGCTAATAAGACTATCTCATCATATGGCTGTTTCTCCAGCTGCGAGGGCCTTTGCTCATGTGAAACTTAAAGGCTGCCTCCAATGTCTCGAGGGCGAATTCCACATCTCCGATGCTTAGGCACAGAGGAGGTCTCAAGCTCAGCACCTAATGAAGGAAAGAACAGGGGACAAATGGGCGAATTAGTTCTCTGTTAATATTGGCCTGTTTAGTGAAACACCAAATCAGAATATTAGACATTTAACATTAAAATTTTATATTAATCTAATTTGTCAGCAAACTGAATTTAGATTGTTTATTACATGCAAATTAGTAGGAGTAAAAACGTATATAAAACGGAGGCTATTAAAAACAGAATCGCTTATATTTTAAAAACAAATCAACAAAAAAATTTATAATTTTTCGGAATCGGTAAATAATATTAAAGAATTACAAAATTTTAGTTTTTGAAAATATACGAAATTTGGTAACTACATTGCTATCTTAAGGGGGTATATACCTTTTTTTGTCGAAAAAAATAATTAAGTTTGTATTTTTTTTATGTGTGTAACAATTTTTATGCAAAAATGTGTGACAAAAAATATTTAATAGTTTTTGATGGGTGTCTGTTTCCCTTAAACGCCTTTTTTTGGAAGAGCCTTGCGGTGATAATTCCCCAGGACGAACGGGTCAACTAAAACCGTAAAAATAAAAATATTTCATTATTAAAGTAATATCCTGTACTTGAAAGAACGTTTTAAAATTTTTTTTTTAAGTTTTTTTGAATGAAGTTTTTGGAAGTTTACATGAAAAATCGATCGTTCAAGTACTCATAAAATTCATAACGAACATTTAAAAAAGAAGAAAATCGGTTCAGTCGTTTTTCGCCAATCCATATCACCGCAAAGTCATTTTTCAAAAAACACCATTTCGAGATATTCGCATTTAAAAGTTTCAAGTTTGGGTTTGGGCGGGGACGAGGCCCGCGGCTAGGAGCGCTGTCACTTTCTTTCTACTGCTCAAATCTCTATGAAAACTTGGGGAAATGTTCTCATGAATTGTTCTTAAGATAAAGCAAAAAAAAAAATTTCGGTTTTTTGGAAATTAAAAAGCCGTGACTATAAAATAAATCTTTACAAATTTTTCATTTTATGGTGTATTGCGGATTATTATGACCATATTAACCTAGTTGTAACTTTATTACCATTTCGTCAATAACCATTAAGTTGTCAAGATTTCGCGAATGTGTCTGAGACCAATTGTACAACTTCATCAACCTTCGATCATTTAAAGCCAATTATATCTTATCTTTGTAAAACAAGCCGAAAAACGGATTTGCTTTTTTGGACTTTTAACTAAATTTCAATAATCGGTGGGATAGACATTAATGGTAGCTTTTTTAGCCGTAAACACAAAAATTTAAAAATGAATAGTAACATATTAGGACAACCAAAAGGTGCTGTGATAAAATGACTTTTACTAATCGTCATTGGAGAAAACGTATAAAACCATTTTAAAAAATCGAATATTTTTAAGAAGCTCTATGAATTAAAAAAAAATAGGCTACAATTCTTTTAAATAAAAAAAAATTATAAAGGCACACAATTTGGATTTTGTTCAAAATCTGCAATGTCTTATTTGTTTTTTATTTTTTTTTATTTTGTCAAGTTAAAACTGGTATACAATACTGAAATTAATGGAAAAGAAAATGACACTGGAAACTGAAGTCCTTCGGCCTATGAAAATTTATTATTTTGCTGTGCTCTTATAAATTTAATTAACCAAATTAAATGTAAAAAATGCCAAAACCTTGAAAAAAGAAAATATAGGGGTTCTGCTGATCAACAATTTTTATTTTGATACAAAATGTATAATTTTCTTTCAAAGCGATTTGTGCGCCATGCAAGATTCATTGTGAGATGGGGCACAACTTACTGACATTTTAGAGCTACAAAAAACTTGAAATTTATTTCTGGTGAGCAACCAGTCTACGGCCACGTACTTGAAGAATTCAAAAAGAACAGTTTAATAAAATTAAGAAGGTAAAACCATTTGAGCGTGGAAAAATCACTTCTTGGTTCTTGATGGGGATATTTAAAAACTGATTAATTGATGAAAGCGAAAACATTTATTAAAAACATTCCCAATGGTTATTTTCTATTGCAGGTATTAGGAACGGGTTTTAAAAAAGAAAATGGGTTGTTCAAAACCAGTTCATATTTCTTAACTTTAACTTAGCTTTAGTCCTAAAAAAATTCGGATATAAATAAAAGAAATTACTTGTAATTTTTTTGGCAAAGGTTAGTATTTCTTGTTTGAATAAAATTTATTTCTTCAACTAAAGGTTTTTTTCTTATACTATGAAAACTGCCTTGTACACAAGAACTAATTTAAGTTAATATAGGAAGAAGACTTTAACAAGCCGATCAATACACTCGAACTTTCTTACGGCAGCAGGACGATACCGTCCTTTAATTTTTATAAAATTTAGAATGTATTTTTTAAAGAAATTTTCTCTTGGAGAAGACGTCATTGTTTTTTTTTAAATCGGACCCATATTCGAAAGAGGGGACTTTGTATTTTTGGGGAACAGAATCAGATCGTGGGAAGAATCTAGTTCTTTTCATTAGAAAAAGAAAAACCATAGAGTTAAGAAGACCTACCTTCGCAAGAGTGCATGTAGGAATTCTACTTTTTGTGAAGCCTACAAAAGGCTTATATCCTAAAGATTCCTGCTCAGAGGCCTTACCTCTGTGTAACCTGGGCTCCTGGGCAAAGACCAAGTAAGCTCCGCTTGATCCGAGGTTGAGCCGTTAGAAAGCCAATATTGCTTAACGGTGGTACAGGTTTATTTGGAGCAGCTTTAGGCTCATGCCTTAGTTGCTCAAACGCAACTTCTCATCCTTGACACTTACCACGCGTAACATCCTTTTCCTTAACACATGCCTTTACATGGAATCCTCAGCGGAGAGTTGGTCCATTTTCCATCTCCACTAGCAATGGCAACTGTCTTTTAGCTTAAAATCCACAATCCCCTCCCTATCCTTGGGAATAAAGCCATCTGTAATACCTCTGCCGAGGAGTCCGATCAGGATCCTACCTCTCTCGACCCCCATGAGGGATATTCGCTACCCTCCATTAGCCCTGAATGGCTCTTTGATATCAGCAGGGTTCTTGGACATGTCTGATTTGGACTCGAGCTGCAGTTCTCGGTCTAGACCGAGGGGCCTAACCTGAGCTTGCCTTGAAGAGACATTAAAGTGAAGTGTCACGTCTACCAAATACCTGTTACTCCTCTCTACTCCTCCTGGCGCTAGTTTCTTATAGTTCCGGACATATCCACGCTTATACTGACGGACAGACAGACCGATATAGCTATTCACTCAGACCAATAATACCATTTACCCTTTTACTCTACAATTCTTAACCATTTTTGAAAATACCATTTTAAATGGACACTATTTAAAATCGACTTGATTTCACTAGAATCTGCAAGTTCAATACCGATTTTCCCAGAACTCAACGTTCAGACATTTAAAGAAAAAATTACCAATTTTTGCGATAACCAAAACGTATAGTTTTCGAAATACTAGAGTTGAAAAAAAAGAAATCAGTTTAAGAAGGGATTTCGGTTTAATGATCGTTTTCCTGAAATACTTGAAATAACCTACAATCTAAACAGAACTTTTGAAAACTTTTATATTTAACTGTCTTTTTATGCCAAATTGTTGTTTAAAAGGTCGTTTAATCTGCAAAAGATACAAGAAGCCGATAAGCTTTTGATATGCTTTTTATAATATTTTGCTTACCAAAAATAACTTATTGTTTTGATGTACCCTTGCAGAACGTACATATATTAATATCAGGAGAATGGAAGGAGACATTTCCGACCCTATAATTTATATATATTATCGATCAGCAGGAACAGTCGAACCGAAAACTGTTTTAAAATTGTCCTTTCCAGGTAGTACATTAGTCGGTAGGGGCCAGATCGAGCGATTATATCATATAGCGCCAAAAATAAAGTATTTAAAAATTAGTATAAAAAAGTAGAACTTCATTGTTTTTCAATGTATGTTAACCAATTATAACTCGAGATCGATATTATCGATTTATACGCTAAAAAATTGAAGATAGAAGTAACTCGGCAAGAGCTGTTAGAGGTTAGCAATAAAAGTTTTCCATAATAAAACAAATTGATTAAAATATAACAAAATGCTCCGCACACTTCAGTAGAGCAAAAAATTTACATTTTAGGTTATATAGCAACCAATTCTTTTCAATATTTAACTACCGAAATTTAAGGGATTCAAATATTCTATGATCACAATGCCAAGAGGTGTTGTTGAATTAAATCGGTTAATAAATGCAGCTGAGACCTATAAACGCTTTCTCCGCCATGCACTCCTCTTCCTCATTCGGATCCTTGTTAACTATTTTTGGGCAGAGACTCAGTGATGGCCCGGGCCAGCACATCCACGGCGAACTTCGCGTCCGCCCGATTGATGCACATGGGCGGCTTGATGCGCAGAACCTGTGTAAATGCACGAAAGGATGCACAGATAGAAAAGGAGGACGTGACGATGCGCCCGAAAAAGAGCCTCTAAGGAGTCCTGCTCGCTTGGGGGCCCTTCAGCGGAGGTCGGTTTTCGTTAGTCAGATGTGCCCGAATGAGGACGGTAGAACCCAGATGAGGATGCACTCAGCCCAATGAAAAGTTTCCACTTACGTTTCCATGAAGGCCTCCGCGTCCGAAGAGCACGCCGAGGTCCTTGCACTTCTCCCAGATCTCCAGAACGTGGGGCGTGGCCAGCGGGGTACGTTTCTCGCGATTGCCCACCAGCTCCACCCCGATCATCAGGCCCTTGCCTCGCACATCTCCAACGATCTCGAAGCGCTGCTGCAGCTCGGCCAGACCCTTCAAAAAGTAGGTGCCCACCTCCAGCGAGTTGCGCTGCAGCTGCTCCTCCTCTATTACGTCCAGCACAGCGATGCCCACGGCACTGGCCATAGGGTTTCCGCCGTAGGTGTTGAAGTGCAGCGCCTGCCCCAGTGAGGCAGCGATTTCCGGGGTGGTGACCACGGCGGCCAGTGGAAAGCCGTTGCCAATGCCTTTGGCCATGGTGACTATGTCGGGCACGTAGTCGTGGCCCTCGAAGCCCCAGAAGTGATCGCCGGTGCGCCCAAAGCCCGTCTGCACCTCGTCGGCCACAAAGATTCCTCCGTTAGCCCTGACCAGCGCGGCCGCCCGCTTCAGATAACCCTTGGGGAACTGCACCGTGCCGCCGACCCCCTGGATGGACTCGGCGAACATGGCCGCCACCTTGCCGCGCGGCAAGGAGTACTTGAAGGTTTCCTCCAGCTCGTTGTAGTAGGCGTCGCCCGCCTGGCAGCCCTCCCGGCACTGGCAGTCGCGCGTCGTCTGCACTGGCGAGTCCCGGCAGGCGGAGCCGCCCCAAATGCCCTGGTAGGGGTCGGGGTTCATCACGTGCACCAGCCCGTTGTTGACGCCCGGCAACGGGAAGCGCCAGGTGGAGTGCGCCGTCAAGCCCATGGTGTACGGCGACATGCCGTGGTAGGCGTTGCGGAAGGAGAGGATATCCTGGTTTCCTGTGTGCAGGCGCGCCATCAGCATGGCCAGGTCGTTGGCCTCCGAGCCGGAATTCACGAAGCAAACGCTCTTCAACTTTCCAGGGAACTTGGCCACCAGCCGCTCGGCGTACTCGTGAATCTTGGGGTGCATATAGATGTTGGTCGTGTGCCACAGCTTGGCGGTCTGCTCGCTTAACGCCTGATTCACTTTCCTGGGGGTGAATGTAATTGGTTTTATGAGAAGGAATCTTTAAACTACTATCATTTATCGTCCCTCTTTCAAATGGTTTGGTCGAAATTGCGGTAAACGTGAAAGGAAAAATTGGAGCTGTTGAAAAAATTAGTATTTATCTTCGTCGCACAATTTAGAACAAAAAATAAACTTGTATTTAGTATTGTATTTTTATACCCTAAAAAATTATAACTAACTTTAAAAACACCAAAGTTATGGCTTTTCCGATCGTTCAGTTATATGCAGCTATATGATATAGTCGCCCGATCCGGCTCTTCCGACTTATATACTACCTGCAATAGAAAGACAACTTTTGGGAAAGTTTCAACAGATAGCTTTAAAACAGAAAGTATTATAATTTTGGTCAAAAGTGTGTGCAACAAACAAGTTAGGACAGTGAAGGAGACATCTCCGACCCTATAAAGTATATATATTCTTGATCAGGATCACCTCCTGAGTTGATATAGCCATGTCCGTCTGTCCGTCTGTCTGTCCGTCTGTCTGTCCGTCTGTCTGTTTCTACGCGAACTAGTCTCTCAGTTTTAAAGATATCGAATTGAAACTTTGCACACACCCTTCTTTCCTTTGCACGCAGTATATAAGTCGGAACGGCCGGGATCGGCCGACTATATCCTATAGCTGCCATATAACTGATTGATCGGAAATGCCATAACTCTGCTGTTTGTTAAGTTGGGACTCTCTATGGGTATTATATTTGGCCAATCAATCCGACGTACCGAATTTCATAAGGATCGGCCGACTATATCCTATAGCTGCTATATAACTGATTGATCGGAAATGCTATAACTTTGGTGTTTGTAAAGTTAGGAAGTTGGGATTTTCTATGGGTTTTATATTTGCCCAATTAATCCGACCTACCAAATATAACTGATTGATCGGAAATGCCATAACTTTAGTGTTTGTTAAGTTAGGAAGTTGGGATTTTCTTTGGGTTTTATTTTTGCCCAATCAATCCGAAATATCAAATTTCATAAGGATCGGCCGACTATATTCTATAGCTGCCATATACATAACTGAACGATTGGAAATGCCATAACTTTGGTGTTTTTAAAGTTAGGAAGTTGGGATTTTTTATGAGTATTAAGAATGCATCATATGAATAATTTTGGAGAATATAATTTGCAGAATATTCTGCAAGGGTATTTCAACTTCGGCTCCGCCCGAAGTTAGCTTTCTTTCATTCTGTTTCATAAAATATACACTTTTTTTAAAAAAAAAGTCTAATTTCAAGAATTTTTTTTTCTAAAAAGAGAGAAATAATTTGTGAATTTAGAAAATTTATATATAACATTATTGCCATAAACTTAAATCGCCCCACATACAAGAAAAAAACATTTTAATTTACTCTCCCCCCCTCAAAATTAAGTTTTGGTTGTTTTTTTATACACTTCCAGAAGCTATCGATATCCCTCTGACCGTCTATCCGTTTCTACGCAAATAAGTCGCTCAGTTTTACAACTATTAAGGGGTTATCCGGGTCTTGACACTTCAAAAAATTCATTTTTTTCAAACTTTTTTATATAATAGTACAAAGTTTCAGGAATGTTGTCTGAAAATTTCAAGTCGATCGAAGCAAAACTGTAGGAATGGGAGAAATTTAAGGCCCAGCTCGTCGAACGTCACAACGGGCCATTCGGGCTCTGGCGTCGGGCAGATGCGGCACTTTAAACGCGTTTTTCTCAAAACCACTTTTTTGAAGTCGGTAGTCACGATTTCTCAAAAACTATTGCACCGATCAACTTCTGGTTTTGCACACTTCTTTTAGACATAATTCTCTTGTCCTTAACGGAGGGATTTTTTTAATAAAAAAATGACACTTTTTATGAAAAGCGCTACAAAAAATTCAATTTTTAATTTTTAAAAAAAATGGCTCGTAGAGGACAAGCGAGACACATACACTATCAGAATAAATTGGCGGAGATATTTTGCCTACCGCAAGGACACAATTTTTTATGAGGTCAAGTTCAAGACTGCCTCAACGGCTCAATTTTAAAAATTTTTGGTTCAAATTTTTACACAATGTTGGTCAAACCATAACCATTAATGTACAATAAATGAAATTTGTGAAAGTGTCGTAAGATCTTTAAAGGGCAGGTAAAAAAGGTAAATAAAATTATAACTTCGATCTTTCTTAACATTTATCCATATACTCCGAGACATAGTTTTTTGAGCCATTTCAGAAATACGGTTTTAGTTTTAAAGAAATCGAAAGAAAGTATAATATAGCTGCTAAAGGAACAATTGGGAAAAGGGAAATTTATATAATAACTTTGTTGTTTCCTAACTTATACCCATACTTTACAAATTATGGTAATTTCAGAATTACGGTTTTACTTTTATAAAAATCGGACGACTATACCATATAGCTGAATTGTGAAAAATTTATCGGAAAATTGACCTAGGCTCATTGTTTTTAAGCATAGAACTAAAAAACATTTAATTTTGCCTAAGTTTGTGATATATTAAAAACTTTTTGAAGGTCGAAAATATAAAACAATAATATCATAATATTTATATTTCCTATACCATTTTGACTTAGTAAATCCAAAGTTTGTGTTTTGAATTTATCGTAATTATTGCATTCCCCTAAGCGGAATTTTATTCCGTGTTTACTGGCAATTTGAAACTACTGAACCGAATAATTTTATCTTTAAGATTTTAAGCAGAAAAAAAACAAGAAAAAAATAAAATATGATTAAATTAAAAAACTCAAAAATTATATATGATGATCCTCATAAAAATCCCAACTTCTAACTTTAAAAACACCAAAGTTATGGCATTTCAATCGTTCAGTTATATGGCAGCTATAGGATATAGTCGGCCGATCCATATAAATTTAATAGGTCAAAAAAACCCATAAAAATCCAACATCCTAACTTTACAAACACCAAAGTTATAGCATTTCCGATCAATCAGTTATATATAGGATATAGTCGGCCGATCCTTATAAGTTTGGTAGGTCGGATTGATTGGCTAAAAACCCATAGCAAATCCTTCTATTAAAAAATTATAATTTATCAGCTATAGATAATCGGCCGATCCTTATGAAATTTAGTATGATTATTGGTCAAAAATAAAACATAGAAAATCCCATTCTTTACAAACACCAAAGTTATGCCATTTCCGATCAATCAGTTATATGGCAGCTATAGGATATATCGGCCGATCCGGCCGTTCTGATATATGTGCAAAAGGAGTGTGCAAAGTTTGAACTCGATAACTTTAAAACTGAGAGACTAGTTTGCGTAGAAACAGACAGACGGACAGACAGACGGACAGACAGACGGACAGACAGACGGACAGACGGACAGACGGACAGACGGACATGGCTATATAGGAGGTGATCCTGATCAAGAATATATATACTTTATAGGGTCGGAATGTCTCCTTCACTGCGTTCATATAATACCCTCTGCAAGGGTATAAAAATACAATACTAAATACAAGTCTTATTTTTATACCCTTGCAGAGGGTATTATAATTTCAGTCAAAAGTTTGCAACGCAGTGAGGAGACATTTCCGACCCTATAAAGTATATATATTCTTGATCAGCATCACCAGGAGAGTCGATCTAGCCATGTCCGTCTGTCCGTCCGTCCGTTTCTACGCAAACTAGTCCCTCAGTTTTAAAGCTATCTGCTTGAAACTTTCCCAAAAGTTGTCTTTCTATTGCAGGTAGTATATAAGTCGGAACGAGCCGGATCGGGCCACTATATCATATAGCTGCCATATAACTGAACGATCGGAAAAGCCATAACTTTGGTGTTTTTAAAGTTAGGAAGTTGGGATTTTCTATGGGTTTTATTTTTGGCTAATCAATCCGACCTACCAAATTTCATAAGGATCGGAGGACTATATCCTATAGCTGCCATATAACTGATTGATCGGAAATGCCATAACTTTGATGTTTGTAAAGTTAGGAAGTTGGAATTTTCTATGGTATTATAATTTTGGTCAAAAGTGTGCAACGCAGTGAAGGAGACATCTCCGACCCTATAAAGTATATATATTCTTGATCAGGATCACCTCCTGAGTTGATATAGCCATGTCCGTCTGTCCGTCTGTCCGTCTGTCTGTTTCTACGCAAACTAGTCTCTCAGTTTTAAAGCTATCGAGTTCAAACTTTGCACACACCCTTCTTTCCTTTGCACGCAGTATATATGTCGGAACGGCCGGGATCGGCCGACTATATCCTATAGCTGCCATATAACTGATTGATCGGAAATGCCATAACTTTGGTGTTTGTAAAGTTAGGAAGTTGGAATTTTCTATGGGTTTTATTTTTGGCCAATCAATCCGACGTACCAAATTTCATAAGGATCGGCCGACTATATCCTATAGCTGCCATATAACTGATTGATCGGAAATGCTATAACTTTGGTGTTTGTAAAGTTAGGAAGTTGGGATTTTCTATGGGTTTTATTTTTAGCCAATCAGTCCGACCTATCAAATTTTATAAGGATCGGTCGACTATATCCTATAGCTGCCATATAACTGAACGATTGGAAATGCCATAACTATGGTGTTTGTTAAGTTAGGAAGTTGGGATTTTCTATGGGTTTTATTTTTGGCCAATCAATCCGACCTTCTAAACTTCATAAGGATCGGCCGACTATATCCTATAGCTGCCATATAACTGAACGATTGGAAATGCCATAACTTTGGTGTTTTTAAAGTTAGGAAGTTGGGATTTTTTATGAGTATTAAGAATGCATCATATGAATAATTTTGGAGAATATAATTTACAGAATATTCTAATTTATATGAATAATTTTGGAGAATATAATTTACAGAGTATTCTGCAAGGGTATATCAACTTCGGCTCCGCCCGAAGTTAGCTTTCCTTTCTTGTTTTTGTTTAAGATTCAGTGAACACCGCCAAACGACTCTTTTAAAAGACGTTTTATGAAAATTGGTGATCGATAAAATATCCGATACAATCTTTATTATTATTATACCCGTTACTCGTAGATTAAAAGGGTATATTGTATTCGTGCAAAAGTATGTAACAGGTAGAAGGAAGCTTTTCCGACCCTATAAAGTATATATATTCTTGTTCAGGATCTAGCCATGTCCGTCTGTCTGTCTGTCCGTTTGAACGCTGAGATCTCGGAAACTATAAAAGCTAGAAGATTGGCATTTTGCATGTAGATTTTAGGAGTTCCTACGCAGCGCAAGTTTGTTTCAAAATTGTGCCACGCCCCCTCTGACGCCCACAAGCCACAAGCTGTGGCCACAGTTTTGATGCTATTATGAAAATTTTAATTGATATGTATTTGTTTCGTCAATACCTATCGATTAGCCTAATAAAAGTTTGCCACGCCCACTCTAACGCCCAAAAACCCATTAAACGCTTAAGCCTGGCTAGCGCCTACATTTCTACATGGGGTAGATGGCGCAATACAATAGCACCATCTAACGGATGACTTTGGAACAGCTGGCCAAGGTGCTCAACAGAGTCAACGTTAATTCTCGATAAGGATTTCTATTAAAGGAAATTGCGATGGTTTTCATTTGTCAATACCGAACTATATCCCAAGAACTATGCAAATCAATCAAGTTAGCCAAATTATAGGTCTGAGTCAAACAATGGTGTGTGTGTGTATGTATGTAAGCTTATACATATGTATGTATTTACATTGTACACAGTTGCAATTGCCCGGCAATTTTAATATTAAGTTGTTTAGCTGAGTAACGGGTATCTAATAGTCGAGGCACTCGACTATAGCGTTCTCTCTTGTTTTATTATTATTTGCGTATATTATATTATTTTCTAAAACGAAAATTGCACCGTTAAGTTTTTAGATAAATAAAAACAAGGTTATCTTATATGGCGTGCTGCAATGCCTAAACCAGTCAAGAAGCTTAAATATTTTTCTAAAGCGGGTCGAATGAGAAAAAGCTTTAAAAGTATTTATTTTGACGAATTCTTAATTATTTCTCGTCGTAAAATTTGTTATTATACATTTTTTTATGTTGAAGGGCACGACATTTTTACATCGTTAAAAGGTGTTTTGTTTGATATCCTACAATTTGTAGAAGTTAAAATTCATTCTTGTTTTTAATAACGTTGGATTAATAAACTTTAAATCCTAATTAAGCAACGTGTGAAGATAATAGTAACTAAAACTGAATATTCTCTTAAAGTAGATGTTCTTTTGACCTTTTTTGCCCTTTCTGTTGCTTACGGGTGACAATGTCCCACGGACACAGTGACGATTCCGCCAAACATATCCAGGTAGCGCCGTCCCTCGTGATCGTACAGCCATTGCATGTGGCCAGTATGAATTACCAGCGGCTTTTTAAAGTGCGCCAGCAGGTTGGGTGTCAGGTGGTCGCGCCGCGTCTTGAGGATCTGCTCATAGCTGGATCCTTCGTAGGCCGCCGGGCGATGACCACACTCGGGCATTTCACTCTGCCCCTGGTTCATCACGGCGGGCGCTGCTTTCGAGTGCAGCGTTGAGCTGGAGCTCCTGCGGCCCAAGGTGCGGGAGAGAACCCGACTGTTATGAACTGGAAAGTGAAACTTAGGTTAGTTGCAGCCTATAGTAATATATATACTACGAATTTGGGCATTCTTCATATTTGATTTGAAAGAAAATGTGGATGCATAATGCGAAAGTTTTGCTTGGATGATATAAAATCCAGTCCCATTACCACGGAAATAGGTCACTTGAATCTGAAAATTCTCTAACGCCCTTCATTAGCATGGGGCCTGTAAATAGAATATATCGGCAAACGTGAAAAGCAAATTCGCAGGCTCATTCGCATGTCCCTGCAAAATTCAAATTTTTACTGAAACATATGTAAGTGTATTATTTCGTTTTTTTTAACGTTTTATTCTTCTTCAGCATCACCAGGAAAGTCGATATAGCCAGTTCCGTCTGTATACAGACGTATTACGTCCATTTTGGACGAACAATTTTGGAATGTAAAAGCTAAAACGTTGCTTAATAAGCTAAAGCTTAACTAACCAAAAATTACAGTATATGATTTTTTTCGTAAAAAGAAAAATAAAACTAAAATAAATTTAAGAACAACTATTTCCGATTTTAAAACTAAGACTTTTCAAAATGTATACTAAAACGAGGACGAAAGCTAACTTCGGCAAGCCGAAGCTTTAACACCCTTGCAGACTTTGAAAAATTGATGTAAATAGCTTATACACTGAGCGAAATTTAAATTTTATGTAATTACAGTAGAATCCGGTTATAACGACTCCGCTTATAGTGTCCGCCCGTTTATTGCGACGAAAACTCGATGGCTTGGTTGGTCCCCATACAAACTTATATGGTTAGTGCGTCTTCCGGGTATAACGACGTAAAATCGTCGGTCCTTGAAAGTCGCTATAACTTTATATACAAAAAAAATATTACCTATAGCTACATAGGTATACATTACTAACTTAGATTTGCATAGTTTCATGTCAACTGCAAAAATGTAATATAAAAAAAGAAAAAAAGGGATATTTTCACAGATTTTAACAATTATTCTTATGGAAGCTATAAGAAATAGTTGTCCCATTGGCAAGCGCTTTTACCCTAATCAAGATATGTGTAAATAAATAAGACTTTTGACCGATTTCACCCTATTATTCCTATGGGATCGGTACGCCCTTTTACCCTGATCAAGGCATGCATAAAAAAACAAAGAGAACGCTATAGTCGGGTGCCCCGACTATCAGATACCCGTTACTCAGGTAAAGGGAGTGCGAGGGAGATAGAAACTTTGATCACGCATAACTTTTTAACGAATGGTCCGATTTGAAAAACATTTCGATAGGTATTGATAAACACGATAAAACTGCATTTTTACTTTTCCGAAATATTTAAATTTTTAAAATCGTATATAAGCGATTGTGGGCGTTAAAGGGGGCGTGGCACCTTTTTGAAACAAACTTGCGCTGCGTAGGAACTCCTAGAATCTGCATGCAAAATGCCAATCTTCTAGCTTTTATAGTTTCCGAGATCTCAGCGTTCATACGGACGGACAGACAGACGGACAGACGGACATGGCTATATCGACTCGGCTAGTGATCCTGAACAAGAATATATATACTTTGTAGGGTCGGAAACGCTTCCATCTAGCTGTTACATACTTTTGCACGAATACAATATACCCTTTGACTCTACAAGTAACGGGTATAATAAGATTTGGAAAAATTCATGTCAATAGCTTATATACTGCGCGAAATATCCTGAAAAGAATACAATTTGGAAGCGATTTCCCCCTATTGATTCTATGGGAGCTATATGATATAGACGTCCGATCGGCAGGCGCTAGCTTTTAAACTGAGCTCGCAAACGGTATTGAAACAGACGGACAGACGGACCTATTGATCCTGATCAAGAATATATATACTTTATGGGGTCGGAAACGTCTCCTTCACTGCGTTACAAACTTCTGACCAAAATTATAATACCCTCTGCAAGGGTATAATATAAACAATTCATAGTTTATTTGAATTTGTTGCGCTTAAGGGAGCTAAAATCTAATATTATTTTATATTCTTTATATCTTGCAGAATTACATTAGAGGAAAGGGTACAACTTTCAAAAACACGAACGAAATGTATTTGTGTATAATATTCTTGGAGAACGCTTTTAGATGGCTGCTCTATATCCTTTCCCCAGAAATCTATCTGCATATGTTCCAAAACAAGCAAGTAAAAGCGTTCTCCGAGAATATTAAAAAATGTTTTTCATATTAGATGTGTTACGGGGTGCTCTCGAAAATGAAGTGAAAACATGTCCATAAGACAAGTTTAAAAGTCTTATTTTATGCGTCGTCAGATCAAGTTTTTTTTATAACGTTCTGTTTTTGCCTAACATGTTGTTTTTTTTTTACTCGGTGATACCGTTTGATTACAATATATTTTGAAACAGGTATCAATACAAACATTCATTTCAAAGCCTCAACCAACACTTCCTGAAAATCTCGCGGATCGCATGAATGTTTATACCCGTTACTCGTAGAGTAAAAGGGTATATTGTATTCGTGCAAAAGTATGTAACAGGTAGAAGGAAGCGTTTCCGACCCTATAAAGTATATATATTCTTGTTCAGGATCACTAGCCGAGTCGAACTAGCCATGTCCGTCTGTCCGTCTGTGTGTCCGTCTGTATGTCCGTCTGAATTGATATGTATTTGTTTCGTCAGTAAATATCGATTGGCCTAATAAAAGTTTGCCACGCCCACTCTAACGCCCAAACAACGCTTTAGCCTGGCTAGCGCCTACATTTCCGCCTTTTATGGGTGACTTTGGAACAGCTGACCAAGGTGCTCAACAGAGTCAACGCTAATTTCATTTGTTTTCATTTGTCAATACCGAACTATATCCCAAGAACTATGCACATTAAATCAAGTTAGCCAAATTGGAGGTCTGAGTCAAACAATGGCGTATGTGTGTATTTACAGTTGCGAAAATAATAATAGCACCACTACATCGCGCTGCTTTCATTGTAAAAAAAAGGTAGTTTGCTGTTGTTGTTTTTTTTCAAAATAATTTTTTTTTTTAAGGTTTAGTATTGCTCTTGTCTAAAACAAAGTTTCCGTTTTTATTAATCCCGCCCACATATTTTAATTTTAGTTTTTTACTAAAAAGGTCAGAAAAACAGCGAAAAAAAAAATAGCACCACTTACAAGTTACTTAGAGAATATCTTATATTTCGTCCAACAGCCTTAATAGAAAGTACCTGCTGATAAGATTGAACTATTTTTTAACTATTTTGTTAAAAAAAAAATTAAAAACAACATTAAAATGGGACGTGGAAAACCCTGCACTGCGGAAATGCGTAAACTTCTTAAAAAATTGATTTTGGAAAGAAATTTTTACATAAAAGTTGGTCGATTGGTTGGATGTTCCAATAAAATGATTAGGAACGCCATAAATCATAAAAAAAATCCAAAACACGTGGAAGAAAACGATCTGTAACACTTTGACATGCCAAAAGGTTGATTCATGAGAGTAAGAAGGATCTTTTCAAATCTGCTACTGAGCTTAAAATGGAGCCTAAAATTAATGCGACAGATGAAACAGTTCGCAAGTGTCTCAGACAAGATAACTTAAAAGCCTGCAGTCCCAGAAAGGTTACCACTTTTAAATGCCAGGCATATTGCTAAGCGCATGAAGTTTGCAAAGAACATGTTAATTGGCCACTTCAAAAATGGAGGAATATCTTATGGTCAGATGAGAGTAAGGTCGTTCTGATGGTGGAAAAGGACTCGATCGTACGTCAGGCGTCCTAAAAACTCTGATTTTATGCCGCAGTCCACCACAAAGACCATAAAACATGGAGGGAGTAGTCTGACAGTATGGGCCTGTTTGTCCTATTATGGAGTACGTCCAATACATTGGATTAAAACCATACTGGATCAGGACGTGTAAGAAAATATTTTGGATACGATTATGCTACCCTTTGCAGAGTACGAAATGCCACTCGTAAGGGTCTTCCAACAAGATAATGATCCAAAACATACCAGCAGAAAGGCAAAGGATTGGTTCGGAAGAAACTCTGTCAATGTGTTGGAGTGGCCTGCGCAGTCGCCTGACCTTAATCCAATATAGAATCTGTGGTCCGATGTGAAGAAGGCAGTTGCTGCATTCAAGCCAACCACCGTAAGATCACTTTGGAAAGGAGTGGAGGTGTCTTGGACCCATATTCCCACTAAACGGTGCCAGGACTTGGTTGAATCCATTCCGAGACGTTGTGAGGCTGTTATTGCCAATAATGGATGCACAACCAAATATTAAATGAAGAATCTACACTTCATTTGGATGTATAAATATAGAAAACTCAATAATTTTTTACTAATTAGTCGTTGTTATAGTTTTAATTCAATTTTTTTAAAGTGGTGCTATTATTTTTTTCGTCAAATTTCTTTAGTTTCAATAAAATATCTAACATATCTTAGGAAATTAAACAAATTTGGTAATTTTTCATTTTTCAGTTGGTTTATTGTCTTTCGATTTCAAAATGGTATTCAACGTTTTCATAGTGTAAAAAGTATAGGTATAGTGACCGTTTAAACATAGCTTGAGTAGGTGGTGCTATTATTTTTTTCACAGCTGTATGTATGTATTTACATTGTACTCAGTTGCAATTGCCCGGCAAAGATAACTCCTTTCAAAAAAGCTATTCGCCATACCCGTTACTCGTGTTGTGCAAACATTTAGACTTTAATATACATAATACTATTTAAGAATGTGTTTAGCCAATATAAGTATGTATGTTTAATATTTCTAGTCAATTTATTACAAGAAGTCATATTTATATTAAGTTGTTTAGCTGAGTAACGGGTATCTAATAGTCGAGGCACTCGACTACAGCGTTCTCTCTTGTTTTTATTGTTGCCAAAGAGTAGCATTTACATTTCTCTGAAAAAAAATATTTATTTAAAGCATGCAAGGTAGTACTCCTGATATTGTTTATTTAAGTAAATCGCAATTTCTAGACAAAATGTGATTACTCGATAATCAATTTCAAACAGAAACTACTCCTGAATTGTAAACAAATTGTAGATGGGTCATTGGCCGTTATATGAATATGAATGCTCTCCATTTTTCCCTGTCCAGCTTCAAATGCGCAATATAAACCATAATTGGTCTTCTACTGAGCAGTTGTACCCATTTAAGCTGATAAGAACTGGCCCCCCGCCGACAGCCTAGGCCACTCGACTTCTTGGTGCGCTGGGGAGCAGTTCCGAATTATCAGACTCCCACCACCTGTTAAAATTTCAACTAAGCTCTTATCTCCCTTATCTGCGCGTCCACCCGATTCGACCCAACACGGGCCATACGTGATTAGCGTATACCTAATAGGCCGGTCCACTCAGAAAAAGGGGATTAACATAATTCTTATAAATAAAAAAAACTATGAAATATTTTTTTAATTTAACTAGTATTTTTTGAATTTTGTATAAGATTCCTGATTTTAAACTAAAATCTCAGAAAGTTGCGAATGTGATTTTAAAAATCAACTGATTCCTATGATTTGAGAACACACTAATACCAAATTAAAAAGCAGTTTTAACCTTTTTTTACACTTACTGTTGTGATAACATTATCTCTATTATCTCTAAACGGTGTAATCTCTCCGTAATAAATTTTACAATGTATTCAGCCGATATTACTTATAAATATTCAGACTGTAAAAAAACAAGAAAGGAAAGCTAACTTCGGGCGGAGCCGAAGTTGATATACCCTTGCAGAATACTCTGTAAATTATATTCTCCAAAATTATTCATATAATGCATTCTTAATACTCATAAAAAATCCCAACTTCCTAACTATACAAACACGAAAGTTATGGCATTTCCGATCAATCAGTTATATGGCAGCTATAGGATATAGTCGGCCGATCCTTATGAAATTTGGTAGGTCGGATTGATTGGCCAAATATAAAACCCACAGAAAATCTCAACTTCCTAACTTTACAAACACGAAAGTTATGGCATTTCCGATCAATCAGTTATATGGCAGCTATAGGATATAGTCGGCCGATCCTTATGAAATTTAGTGAGTCGGATTGATTGGCCAAATATAAAACCCATAGAAAATCTCAACTTCCTAACTTTACAAACACGAAAGTTATGGCATTTCCGATCAATCAGTTATATGGCAGCTATAGGATATAGTCGGCCGATCCTTATGAAATTTGGTGAGTCGGATTGATTGGCCAAATATAAAACCCATAGAAAATCTCAACTTCTAACTTTACAAACACGAAAGTTATGGCATTTCCGATCAATCAGTTATATGGCAGCTATAGGATATAGTCGGCCGATCCCGGCCGTTCCGACTTATATACTGCGTGCAAAGGAAAGAAAGGTGTGTGCAAAGTTTCAATTCGATAGCTTTAAAACTGAGAGACTAGTTTGCGTAGAAACAGACAGACGGACAGACAGACGGACAGACGGACAGACGGACATGGCTATATCAACTCAGGAGGTGATCCTGATCAAGAATATATATACTTTATAGGGTCGGAGACGTCTCCTTCACTGCGTTGCACACTTTTGACCAAAATTATAATACCCTCTGCAAGGGTATAAAAAGGAAATGCTCTAGCATACACCCAAATTAGAATGCCATACAGGGACATCAATTATTGCATTAGGTGAATAATGAAGGCAACAAAAGGAGCTTTGACGTCAGGGATGCGGAATTCGATTCCTCTGGTATCCCTCAGTAAACTCACCCAATAATCGTTTGGACATAATTTCTGGTTTCAGTTTCCCAAGGCACTTCTTAATATAAATTTTAGGTATTTACTACTTTGATTTAAGCAGCACTAATCGCACTATTCGAAGCAAAGCAGCGCCAGATTATCTACGCCAGTCGTCCGAATTTAACGACGTCGGTGGAGCAACTGATCGGTGAATACGGTTTCTATTCCAGTGCCAGTGGGGAAAGCTCGGACGTTGGAAAAGCTTTGAACGACAGATTAAAGAGCAAAGTCAAGGCTGCGGAAAAGCACTCTCTTTTGCCAGTCCAAGGTCTGATTAGAAAGCGCTGGGAGGTAAAACACACAGTGGGTTAACAGCTGGTTGTCTCATATTAATTTATTTCAATTCTTGTTTGCTATGTACTGAAGCACAAACTACTGAAGTGCACAGGTAATTTGTTTGTTTTTAACAAAAAATATATCGCTTTAATCGCTCCTTATTAATTGCTGCGCGGAGCGCTTTATCCCGGATTCAATGCGCAGTTCTGGGTGGCAGACATTTAACATTGTGGTGTAATTTACATTAGCCTTTGATATTAGGTATGTAGGTCCTCGAATATGCTATATTGATTTATCAAGTATGAATTATATATTATGCTTTATCAACCAACATCACGAGTTTGCGCTTTGATTTTCACGTTGCCCATCACCAAACCTCCTGGACTCTCCCGATCATATTTAACCCAATGCAACAGATTATAAGGAAATATAAAACATTTGCGGGGTCATCTAAAAACAAGCTTTACGCGTCGTCGTGGGCTTCAATGATTACGCAAACAACCATAGCCGATCTGAGCTGGGACACAATGTCCCCTGCAAGGAGACCAGCCCGGGCAGTTCAGTTAAAGTCGGTGTACAAATCGGGGCTTCGGGGCGTTGTTGGCGGCTGGTCCGGCTGTTCTAGGTTGGCCGCCATCTGGCGCAAGTTGTCCACCCCAGTCAGTAGTTGCCTGCAAATAATTTGTAGTAGTTTGTCATGTCGCCTACACCGTAAATATTGATCTGGTTTACCTAAGGTTCTGCTCCGCGGTGTCGGCAGCACGAAGAAGATCCCTTGACAAATGGTGCGTTCTGGACGGTCGCGTGCCGCTGCTTCCGCTGCTCGCGGCGCTTTTGCTGCCTCTGTCAGGAGTCGCCGCTGAAACTCCTCCTGCGGCGCAATCAGAGCCGCCGGCTCCCCTTAAAGTGCTAAGCTCCGTCTGAAAAAAGTTTTACTTGTTAGAGAATCTGCGACTCTGACTCGATTAAATGTTAGATGTAATTAAATGAAGAAGAAACGCCTTCCTGACCAAAAGAAACCCAACTCGGATTGGCTATTTTCGAAATACATAATAGTTTGTAGTTGGCCATTCAAATTTTGATTATTGTTGCGAGGGAATCCGAAAATTTTTAAAATTTTTGAAATTTACGTTAAGCAAAATGTTGAATACGCAGATGTCTGTCTAAACATGAATGTTCTTTTTGGCTTTTATAGTATCTAGCATTAATACTTTGAAACAGGCCATTGTACAAAAAAAATACCTTTGGGGCTAGATTGACTCGGCTATTGATGATAATCAATAATATATGATTTTATTTATACAAATTAAAACTGACGCGGAAAGAATACATACTCAATAGTCAAGATCGTTCATATGGCAAACAGCAGGTGAAGAAAAACTTCCCTATAAAACTCAAGCTCATTAATAAGCAAATTTAGTTCGAAAAACAGTTTATAGAGCTCGAGTTTTTATTTGATCACGAGGAAGTTAGAATTACCGACTAGTCTCTCACCTCTAATTGGGCCAACTGGCGTCTCAGATGTTGCGTGGTCTGTGTGTTGGTCGTCGCGGCCTGTGCTTCCCGTCGTCTCGCTGCCTCGGATAGATGCAGCAGCTGCTGCTCAAAGTCACTAGCCCTTCTGGTCTGGACATTGAGTTCTGCGCGAGCCTCCTGCAGCTCCCGCTGCAGACGCTCGTTCTCTTGTCGCAGTGACGACAATTGCAAAGTGCCGGGCGGATCCTGAGGAGGCGAATCAATGGAATTGGAGGGTAGGCCGATAGCCACGTCGGCCAGTCGCTGAGACGAATGAATTATGGGGCCGTCCGACAGGAAGTCCGGCAGCATTTTGGTCGTGGAGCCGGCGGCTGGCTCGCCGGGCGGACCAGGGAGCGCGACTGCGTTGGAGAGCAGCAGTCCCACCGCTCCGCTTGTCGCCTCGGCCGCTCCCAAAGGCGAGTTGGGAGGCGAGCTGGGGAGGGCGTCCTGCCCGGCGCACCAAGCGTCCGGCAGGTGATCCTGTACGAAGTCTGGCAGGCCGGACGCGGCTGCAGCTCCACCACTTGCTCCTCCACCCAATGCATTACAAGCGTCCAGGGGCAGGTCAAGCTTCATCTTGGGGCTCGCGGATAGCACTAAACGGGTCGGGCGTTGATCGCGGTTTCCCGCGGGCCGGCGGCGAGGCGAGGATGAGGGACACGGCACATGGGGTGGCATTTCGTAGTTGGAGTAGGAGCGCGGCACGTAGCGCGTTCCACTGGCGGGTTGTTGGTTGGAAGCGGCTGATGGGAAAATATCTGTCCGCGTAGGAAGCGAGTGCTAGTTAGTAGTTATTTTCTGGGAGGTCCAAGAGCTCACCGTCATCTATTCGCTTGTCGTAATGCCTGCCCGTGTTGCGCACCTCGGCTAGAGCCACGTGGTCGTCGTCGTCGTTGTCCAGGGCATCCTGCACGGCGTCGTGGCCCAGCCGCATATCCAGCCTCAAGCGGTGCTGGGGCCCGCCGCTGCTGCTGGTGGCACCTCCCCCGCAGGCTGCGTACTCGGTCAGACTCGCCTGCGAGTCGAAGGAGCTAAATCGCGGAGATCGCTTCATCCTGGAGGATGCACTGCTGCCGTTCACATCCGGCGGTTGCATGTGGGAGGCGGAGGCCGACTGGGGCACCTTGGGGCGGGCGCCCGTGGACGTCTGCACGGCGGCAGAGGTAACAGTGCTGGTCGGAGCCGTTACAGTGCCCGTGCTGCTGAGAAAGTGCTTAAAGGAGAACGAGGAAGAAGACGAGGAGGCTGCCCCTGATCCTGCGCCGCTTGTGGAGGTGGAGGCGTCATCGTCTTGTGCCGCTGCCCTATGTTTAACCCTGCAAATAAGCATTGTTTAGTTCACTTAAGCCAAACACATTAAACTTACTTACATTTTTGTCAAGTTCTCTTGTTTCTTTGCTGAAGCGGGCAAAAATAGGATATTTTTTCACAGCAACGTTGCCACCTAATTGCAATGTTTGCATGTTTTTATTAATTTCTTTATAAGTACAACTTTTATTTCCTTACAATGCTAACCACATAAATGTTTTTTTCTTTCTCGAAATACTGCGTACCATTTTATAAATAATTTGTTTATACCAAAAACAGATGATTTGACCGAAATTTGGTTTTTTATAATTTGAGCAAGATGGTATCTCTGACAGGTAAAACGGTTTCAGATATACTGCACCTTACCTCATTCTGTGTAAGACAGTCTATAAAATGATTCACTTTAACACCATGTTATTACTGTTATTGTTTATAATATTATAATATTTTTTTGTTCAAATAGTTCATACAATAATTAATTATTGTTTTAAATCCATTTTCCATACCACTTAAAAACTGTATTTATATATGCAGATAGGTTTATTTAATATATTTTATTTTAAATCAGGACAGAAATTTATTTTTTATACCCTTGCAGAGAGTATTATAATTTTGGTAAGAAGTTTGTAACGCAGTGAAGGAGACGTTTCCGACCCCATAAAAAATGTATATTCTTGACCAGGATCAATAGGGGAGTCGATATAGCCATATCCGTCTGTCCGTCCGTCTGTCCGTCCGTTTCAATACCGTTTGTGAGCTCAATTTAAAATCTAGCGATCTAAAACTTTCACAGTCGTCCTAAAACATGTGTACGCAGATCAAGTTTGAAAACCGCCCCGATCGGATGGGTATATCCTATAGCTCACATAGGAACAATCGGATATAACTTGCAAGAATGGAAGATATTTCGCGCAGTGTAAAAGCTATTGACATAAATCTTTCTAAATCTTATTTTTTATGAATACCTTGATCAGGGTTAAAGCGAGTGCCGATCGGACGTCTATATCCTATAGCTCCCATAGGAACAATAGGGTGAAATCGGCCCAAATTTGATGATTTTTAGAATATTTCGTGCAGTGTGTAAGCTATTGACATAAATTTGTCCAAGTCTTATTTATTTACGTATATCTTGATCAGGGTAAAAGCGCTTGCCGATCGGACGTCTATATCTTATAGTTTCTGTAGGAAAAATTTTTAAAGGCTGCGGAAATATCCCTTTTTTTCAATTTTTATATGACATTTTTGCAGTATAAAAGCATTTCACATGAAACTATGCAAATCTAGTTTATTTATGTATACCTTATTCCTTTCGCTACTTTTCAATTTGAGCAATTTCGGCAAAGTCTGCAAGGGTATTAAAACTTCGGCTTGCCGAAGTTAGCTTCCGTCCTCGTTTTGAGTTGAAATTTGTCTGAAAAACATTTTTAGCAGAATGGGGCCAACGATCCAGGACTAATTACTTAGTTCTAGAAAGGAGGTGTTTGATAGCTCATCCCCGGATAAAGTATCGCTACAGTTTATGATCGGTGCGAATCCTTTGAGCATTCATAGTAGACCACCAAGTTAATCCAGGATGACGTTTGGGTAACCTTTGCTTTGTTAATGCTGCGAATTATACTGACTCACTGTTTGACCTACAATTAACTTAATTTAATAATTAAACTAAGGGATTCGATTGCCTATGACGTGAAACACACAAGATTATAATATTTTATTCTTCATTTTATACTCAAAATTCATTTAAATTCATGTTAATGTTAACATTCTTGCCAAAAATTTTAATCATAATTTTCGAGAGAATTTAAAAATAAAACAAGAAAGGAAAGCTAACTTCGGGCGGAGCCGAAGTTGATATACCCTTGCAGATTATTCTGTAAATTGGCTGGCCAATTGGTTGGCCAAAAATAAAACCCATAGAAAATCCCAACTTTCTAACTTTACAAATGTCAAAGTTATGGCAATTCCGATCAATCAGTTATATGGCGGCTATAGGATATAGTCGGCCGATCCTTAAGAAATTTGGTAGGTTGGATTGACTGGCCAAATATAAAACCCATATAAATTCCTAACTTTACATACTGCGTGCGAAGGAACGAAGGGTGTGTGCAAGGTTTCTATTGGATATCTTAAAACCTGAGAGACTAGTTCGCGTAGAAACAGACAGACGGACATGCTTATATCAACTCAGGATCCTGATCAAGAATATATATACTTTATAGGGTCGAATATGCCTCCTTCACTGCGTTTCACACATTTGACCAAAATTATAATACCCTCGGCAAGGGTGTAATGACCTAAAGCCTAGTATCCAGATCGACAAACGATTACGCTAGAGTAAAAACTTTAATCTTTCGAGTGTGACCAACATTTTGAGAGTTCATCAGATTTAAGCGTGCTACGGTCGTACGGTCAATCAGCTGGGTTTGTTGACAAGCAGTTAAAATTCAAATATCGTATTTGCGGGAAAGAGCCTTTAAAAGATATTATCAAATACCTTGGCAAGACAAGTCTGCCGCTGTACAAAGAAATTAAATTAATTACATTCTGGACTTAAAAAACATTTTGCTCTGACAAGAGGCACCCCAGATACTATTAATGTTATTTTGTCCTCACATGTAAACACCTGCAATCGACTTTTGTGAGTTTTTTGAGTTTTTCCCTGGCAACGCTATGAAATTTTCTGGTATTTTTTCGTCGATCAGGGGACCGACGTGAAAAAAAGGGCCGACGAAAAGTGAACGCCAGCTGTTTGCCTCTCGCTCTCTCTCATGACTGGCGTACGGTTTTCGTCGATCTGGATACTAGGCTGTAGAAACGACGCCTGTGTGAATAGTCTTTTATGGTGTTGGCCAATGTGGGCACAAATTTCGCGTTAGGCAATCAATTCTTGCTCCTAATGAAAAAGAAAAAACTTAATATTTGAACATTGCTCGTAGCTTTTAATGTGTCATATGCCTATCTGTAATGTATTTCTTATCTAGATCAATTCACCAAGTATTGTTAAAAAGTCCTTTCTCTTTCGCCGGAAGAAAATAGTCAAGAAATTATGTTATAATAAAATAATCTAAGTTATCTAAAATTATCAGAACAAAAATTCTTACAAAAGTCGTGAAATCATAAAAATTATTTCTTTCAAAAAGGAAAGCGAACTATTAAATTTAATATTTCTGTGATTTCTTGTATCGGTTATTTTAATTTTTTAACATATCAACCCTACCAGAACTGTAAACTTATTTAAAGCATATCGAAATCACTTAGGTATACCCTTATTATTTCGCACTCGTAAACGCAGTTCTGTGAATCGCTCCGCGCGCAGTGTTGGTAAATGCGCACAGTCCTGCCATAGTAAACAAAACGCGTCGTTCGGGGTTCGCTGCGCATTTTTAATGCAATAAAAATAAAAGCGAAAGGCAAGACGAAATCACGCAACTGGCCGTCGCTTTACCTTTTGTGGCCATAAATCCGGGATTGAGCGTTTTTCATCGATGCCGACTCCGCGTTTCCCTGATTGCGGTGTTGTCTTACTGCTGTGAAGGAAAATTCTGCGTAGCAAACAAACCGGTCGGTCTTGTACATACAGTGTATATATACGTAGTATATACACACACACCAGTTCGGGCGCGTATATGGCCGAGGAAAAAGCGTCGCAGTGCATTTTGTGTGGCAAATTAATTGCGCCGAGTGTCTTGAAAAACAGTATTTGCCTGCCGAACTCGTAATTTTGGAGTCCATATGCCCCTGCTCTGCTGCGGGGGTGAAGGTGCGTCCATGTGAGCCTGCAAAGGTGGTGAGCCGCGAATTGTGAATTGCCGTGCAAACACACACAGACCCACCCCTTCCCGCTCCGACAGCAGCGAGTGTTCCACTTTCGGCTGTCCTGATTTTCCTGCAGTGCAGCCAGGACATCAGCTTTCTTCTGGGCGTGTTCTTCGCCCTGTCCTAGTTTCTGGGAACGCGGAGTCGATCAAAGGACCATCGAACCAGGATACTTGCAGCATGCTCTGGAGCTGCGACAGGTAAGATAGTTCCAATTGGTTACTCGTCCTGCTACCCTTTGCTACGATTCCAGTGGGAAAAACAGCTTTGCTTGGGTCACGGCCCCATTTATTGACTCTCTCGTCCTCTCTTCCCCGGTTGACTTCTTTGCTGTCCTCTTGGCTTTTCTCCTGCATTTCCACATGCGTCGGCCTTTGCCTTTCATTCACCTTGCACAGTGGAGCCGAAGGCTCAATGCCACTAACAAATCAAAGAACGCTTCAGCCGAGTTTCCCGTATCCAAATATTTCAACAAATAATACTCTTTTATTTATTTATTCTCTTGTTTTTCATTATCTATCTTATTAATACTTCAAGGCAGATTAATTAAATGTATTATTAAAAATGATTCCTATTTATATTTTATACGTATGCATTAAAAGTTTTTTAATAATTATTTCGCCTATTTGTATAACAGTTTCCGATAACTGTTAAATTTTGAAAAATAAAAAAAATCTCAAAATAACTTTTATAAGTAGTACTTTTTTGGCCTTAAATGTAGTGCACAAATTACATAAATGTAAGAATAAGGTACATTTTTTGGTAATAAAGAACTGACCTAAAAAACCAAGTTTATAAGTCTATATCTTAAGACAAAGGAATACAATCCACATTTTGGTGTTTTGAGGAGTCCATTACCAGATAGTCTAGGAAATATTCCCTTTTTTCTACTACTACACAGTTTAAACGATCACAATCGTTTTTTATTATTAAATAAAGTTTAAAAATGTGGCATATCGGTTTTTAACATCCAACAGCTTTAATAGGAACGATATATAAATTTTAATAAAGTTAATTAGGTTTGAGTATAGCTCAGATTTAATAAAGAGCAATTTGGTTTTATAAATGAGAAATTAATAGTTTTTACACTGAGTTTGGTCCACTGTGCTGGCCTTAGCGTTTCTTGTCTGTCATTGCTGCCTCTGCTTTTTCTTCTTCTTTCGGTTTGTATACAAATTATGGGGAGTCGTTGTTGTTATTGTTTTTGCAGTTGTTGTTGTTTTAAGCTTTTATGGGCAGTGCATTCCACTTGTTTGTTGTTGATGTTGTTGTTGGTGCTGTTTTGCTGGTACATATACTGTGAAATGTTATAAATATAGACTTTAATTTGCCTTTAGCTGAGTTCAGTTGTTGTTAAAGATTATTTGAAAATTGATTTTGTTTGGTCTGCAGTTAATAATTTATCCCCAAGTCCTCCCAGTTTCTACTTACTGGTGGATGAAGCGTGCAATATGGCAAGAAAAGTGAAAATGTTTCCCTTCCCCTTTTGGTTGTGGGCGTTTGGACTCCTTCTTTCTGTACGTCTTGGTAATTTAATTAACGTGTTCAGACCACCCGTTTTGCCTCTTTTCCCCTTTCCATTTCATCCCCCACCCAAGCCATTTGTTGACCCATATTCGGTCATTTTTGTTTTGCTGTTAATTACTGTTTGCATTTCTCTAGTTTCCTTTTAGCTTTGAGGCTGTGTGCTGTTCGTTAGCCTGTGATAAGGAATTATTTTCATAACAAATTAACATCTTAGTCGCTCGATATTTCTCAGAGGCTCGATATCAGGTAGCCTCAATGTTCACTCTTATTGCACAGTGGTTCCGATACATTCTAAAAACCGATCAAATGCAATAAGAACAAAAGTTTGAACTATACTATTGTTAAATATCTAAAAAAAAACCTCACGGTAACTTTCCACCTACTTGGCCAAGAAATTAATTGTTTTAAAATACTTTACAATAACTTTAACTTGGAAACCATATGATAATATAATAATAGTATAATTATATCAAATTTCAAATTAATAACTTTATTTATTACAAATTATTTTGCTGGTGGACCTCCGAATTAGGTCGATTCTAAACTAAATAACTTTTGCTAATAGGAAGAGAAATCAAGAGTTGTACGCAGAAAAAAATATTTTGTTGGGGTTAGTTTAGATAAATAATATAGATCCAAATTAAGAAAAAAGAGTTACGGATTTTTTTTCGACCTACCAATCCTTACATCTTGCATAATGCAAAACTAATTGTAAAAGTTTATACCCAAAACAATGTTAAACTTTTATTTACGACCGCTATGTTGGTTTCATTCAATCAGCCATTCTTAGGCAGAAAAGTCAGGCAAAGCAAAGACCTTTGTCAAATGCAGCCAATGCAGTCGTAATCTGTGTTATTTAAAAACAAACAAAAGGGAAGTTCTTTTTTTAATAAAAATTCTAAACTCACAAGGGAAATCTAGTTCTGTTAACAAATCTAAATCTGGAGCTCAAAAAGGTCGGTTCCAAAATCCTTTTGAAATTTTAAAGCCTTATAGCTTCCCACTTTTGCTCACCAATTAGTTTTTAGCCCACTTTCAGATTAAACAAGAAAGGAAAGCTAACTTTGGGCGGAGCCAAAGTTAATATACCCTTGCAGAATATTCTGTAAATTATATTCTTCAAAATTATTCATATGAATAATTTGAATTTGACATATCTACCCTTATCAGCCTCTTTTATAATGCAAGGGAGTGAAAGAAACGGGCACCAAAGTTATGTCATTTCCAATCGTTCAATTATATAGCAGCTATAGGATATGGTCGGTCGATCCTTATGAAATTTGATAGGTCGGATTGATTGGCCAAAAATAAAACCCATAGAACGTCCCAACTTCCTAACTTTACAAACACCAAAGTTATGGCATTTCCGATCAATCAGTTATATGGCGATTATAGGATATAGTCGGCCGATCCTTTTGAAATTGGTTAGGTCGGATTGATTGGCCAAAAATAAAACCCACAGAAAACCTCAACTTCCTCACTTTACAATCACCAAAGTTATGGCATTCCCGATCAATCAGTTATATGGCGGCTATAGGATATAGTCGGCAGATCCCGGCCGTTCCGACTATATCTTATAGCTGCCATATAACTGAAGGATTGGAAATGACATAACTTTGGTGTTTTTAAAGTTAGGAAGTTGGGACTTTTTATGAGTATTAAGAATGCATCATATGAATAATTTTGGAGAATATAATTTATAGAATATTCTGCAAGGGTATATCAACTTCGGCTCCGCCCGAAGTTAGCTTTCCTTTCTTGTTTCATAAAAAATATATATTTATATCGTGATTTTTTATTTGCCCAAATATTGGAATTCCGATATTTTTTTTTGATATTTTTTGATATTTTTGTCTTTGGTCACTCTTAATTCCAAAGCGACATCGACTGAAAGAATTCAGGCGCGAAATAAAAAATTGAGTGTAAAATCAAATTATACGGATATAAAAAACGGCGTCCGCCATCAAATGTGTTGTGTGCGACTCAAGAAGCACATAACGCAAAGGGTGTTATTAAAATCCCTAAACCCTGCATACTGGTCATAAAATATATATAATAAAATACTATTGTTTTTAAAAAGAAACTTATTGTCTTTTTATTGGGGGCGGTCAATTTATCATTTAACACAAATCAAAATAAATATCAAATATATCGACATTTTTATGTGATATTTTAAATATTATCATTTTTTTTTTTTGATAAAAAAAATATCATCGATACGATATTTTTAAAATTTTCGACAACCCTAGTATAAAAACAACAAAGTTATAATTTTTTGAATTTTGTTTTCCGATTGTTGCTATGGGAGCTATATGATATAAAGCGCCCGATCCGGTTCGTTCCGACTTATATACCAGCTAGCAGATAGCTTTACAACTGAGGGACTAGTTTGCGTAGAAATGGACAGACGGTCGGACAGACGGACATGGGTAGACTCTCCTGATGTTTTTGTGTCAAAAAATAGGCAATTTTCCTGAATTTTTCTTTTGAACAAAGAAAAAAACATAGGTACTTCAAACTTTTTTTTTTATATTATAGATAATTTTGTAAAAATTTCAACAATTTCGAAGTATTTCCGGATAGGGCGACGTATGCCAATGGGCGAAACTGGAACCCCGCTGGCGACTCTTCTACAGGTCAAAAAAATCGTCTTAAACAAAAAATTTAAAAATGTTCTTGTTTAGTAGGAGTGTGGAATAGACTACTTTTATCAAAATTTAATAAAAAATAAAAAAATGGCGTCGTTTTAAAAATGTAGTGTCGTTTAGTTACCGAAATTTTTTTCACTTTTTTGTCGATAAAAAATCTGATCTGTAAGCTATCTTGTAATTTTACTTCATTCCATAGACAATTTAATAACGCGTATTTAAAAAAAAACCAATAAGATTCGTTAAAAATTGACTGAGATATGACAGTCGCCAGCTCGAAAAATGTAGTTTTCCGGAAAACGCGTTTAAAGTTTTAAGTACGCTCCGTACCTCCTTTGAGTCTGTCGGCTCGGAGCTCTTAACTTTTAAACTATTACGTACATATTTCGATTTGCCCTTTAGTATGATATTCTAGACACTTGTATCTATCGAAAAAGCAAAAAAAAATGTTTGGATTTTTTGAACAAACTAACCAGAATGGACCCTTCAACCTTGTTCTATAAAACTCTCTAAACTTCTAATTTTGAACGATTAGAGAAATACAATTTTAGTTTTATAACAAGAAAGGAAAGCTAACTTTGACGGACAGACGGACATGGCTAGATCGACTCTCCTGGTGATCCTGATCAAGAATATATATACTTTATAGGGTATAAAAACCATCGGAAAATAAATAGAAAAATAACAACAAATTCTCCGAGATAAAGGTATTTTTATACCCTTGCAGAGGGTATTATAATTTTGGTAAAAAGTGTGCAACGCAGTGAAGGAGACATCTCCGACCCTATAAAGTATATATATTCTTGATCAGGATCACCTCCTGAGTTGATATAGCCATGTCCGTCTGTCTGGTTCTCCGTATGTCTGTTTCTACGCAAACTAGTCTGTCAGTTTTAAAGATAGCGATTTGAAACTTTGCTCACACCCTTCTTTTCTTTCGACTTCTTTCAACTTCGGCTTCGCCCGAAGTTAGCTTTCCTTTCTTGTTTTTAAATTACTTATAAAATAATGATTGACAAATTTATTGTGTGTCGGTAGATAGTGAACAAATACGCCGAAAAATTGTTATAACTGCGTCGGCTTGTGTCTTTTTCTATCAGGGTTAAATTTCAGGATACATTTACTCTATAATCTCCCACAACTTAGTTGGTTTTGACAAAACGGCTTACGTGGAGGCAAAGAAGAAGCGAAGATACCCAGACGAAGAAATAATTTCTGTTCTTGATTATTATATTTAAAAATATTTTTTATTTTATGGTTCATTGCTAATAATTTTGATCAACTTTTAAAATAAATGTCTATTTAAGTAGGAAAAAACTCCACACTTTCTTCCGACTAGACTAATGTTTCACTTCTGTTGTCCTCCCATTGCAGCAGCTCTCCGCTTGACTTTCCGATGCATTTCGGGCATTCCTTGATTGCCGGCTTAGATGCGCTAGCCTAGGATTGGACTGCGTCAAGATGTCGTCGAGCAACGGCGGTCTCAGCAGTGCCACCAATGGCCGCAGCGGTAGCACCGGCAGCGCAAATATCAACCTCAATCTTAAGGGGCAGGAGCGGTCTATAGCAGCGGGACCTGGGGCTGGTGCATCAGGTGCCACGACCACGTCAATTACACATAAAACACTGCCAGACCTGAAGACGCAGAGAAGCAATAGCGCTTGTCACGCCCACGAGTCACTATCCGCCCTACGTCGGATCGTGCTGCCGGAAAAACCGCCTGAGAAGCCGCTCAGCTATGCTGCGGCCCAAAGCCGAGTCTTGGGCAAAGAGGCTAAGGAGGGCCACCTGGTCTACTGCGAGGGGCGGCTTCACTCGGGTCCTCTGCAATCACTCATTGTCCACATGGTCCCCACCCACGAATACTATCCGGATGATGGCTTTGTTTTCGCTTTCCTCCTCAGCGCCAGGCTTTTTGTGCGCCCCCACGAGCTCTTGGCGCAGATCTCGCAGACTTGGGAACAGCAAGATGTGGGCGCCGGTGGAGATGCGGTGGATGATGCCGGACAGGTGCCTGGCCGACCCATGCTGCTTAGCATCAATTCTGCCTCGCCGCTCACGCAGAGGAAAGGATCCGCGACTGCGGTATCAGCATCCAGTTCAGAGCTAGAGCCGCGTCCGCAGCAGCGGACGAGCACTCAGCGCTCTGCCCAATACTGCATCAGACTACTGTCGGAATGGATCGAGATCTTCCCGTACGACTTCAGAGATGAGCGACTGATGCAGCAGGTGCGCATTCTGGCAAGGAAGTGCGTCTACATTGACAATTCGCTTGGCAAACAGGTGTCGCGCATCCTGCAGCTTCTCGTATCCCGACTGACGTCACTAGAGCAGTACGAGGAGTTTCTGCAGACACTAACCTCTGAGGAGGCCAGCAATCAGCAGCAGCAGCACCACCACCACGGACACCACCATCACTTGCACAATGCCTTCCAGACCTTTCTGGGCACCTCTTCACATACCAACGGGGCCAGTGGCGGCGGATCGGCCAGCGGGGCCTCCAATTCTTCCTCCAGCGGCCACACCTCCTCTGCCTCCACATCCAACTCGATCTCCACAACTCCACAGCCGGACGAAGTGTTCGGCATTATGGACATGTGTCCGAGCTGTGCGGACTTGGCCCACCAGTTGACTGCCATCGAGCTTGAGCGCCTGTCTCACATTGGGCCAGAGGAGTTTGTCCAAGCCTTCACAAAGGATTACCAGCAGCAGGCCAAGGATGGGGGCAAGGAGAGCAGCAAAGGCAAGGGTAGTGGAGGTGGTTCGTTGAACGACATGAAAAAGACACGCAACTTGGAGTCGTATGTGCAATGGTTCAATCGACTCAGTTACTTGACGGCCAGCGAGATTGTCAAGGTAAACAGTAAATAATATTTATAGGGATAAGTAGGCAAACAAATTAAATAAATCTTTTTATTTTGCCCCTTTCAGTACCCTAAGAAAAAGCAGCGTGTGCGCATTATAGAGTATTGGATTGAGACAGCCCGCGAGTGCTTCAATATTGGCAACTTTAATAGTCTGATGGCCATTATAGCTGGTCTAAACCTGGCACCCATAGGCAGACTCAAAAAGACGGTAAGTTGGGTTGCGTATTAACCTTATTTCGGCTGTTACTAATTTTGAATTTAATACTCAGTGGGCCAAAGTGCAATCGGCCAAGTTTTCCGTGCTGGAACATCAAATGGATCCAACATCGAACTTTAACAGCTATCGCTCTACGCTTAAAGCTGCGATGTGGCGCTCAGAGGGCGCTACTGAGGAACGCGAACGCATAATCATTCCATTCTTTAGTTTATTTGTTAAGGATTTGTACTTTTTGAACGAGGGCTGTTCCAATCGGTAAGTAGTTGTGGACGTCATAGGCGTAAGACCACTAATTGCCCAAATTTTTAAGCAGGCTGCCAAACAATCATATCAATTTTGAGAAGTGCTCCCAACTGGCCAAACAAGTGATGGAGTTTAATGAATGGAAGAAAGTGAACTGTCCTTTTGAGAAACTGCCCAACGTCATTGCCTATCTTCAACACAGCGCAGTGCTTAATGAGAACACTCTTTCATTGGCATCATTTGAGTGTGAGCCACCAGAGAACACGGAGGAGAAGGACCGCTACAAGACCGTGAAGGCGGAGACGAAGCAACAACTGCTACAGCAACTGCAAGAGCAGCAGCAGTAGTCGCAGTAACCACTATGTAGAGGGTAGACTAAGCTACGCTTAAGCGCTTGCCATGATTATTTTTTCAATTAGAGCCGTAAGACCGGGGATATTTTAGTCTAAGTTAATGAGAACGATGAGTACAGAGGGTGACCAAGCCTCAACCCTGATTATCCCCTCCTGCGAAAGAAAAGCTTTTGAAGCTTGAGTCTCTGTGTAATATGTTGTCAAAAAATTTTATTTTCACTCACTAACCTTCTCTTTGTGTTTCTGTCCCAAATTTTTACATGATGGGCGGCGGCGCGTCTTTTAGAGAGCAGCTCCGTAGGCAGTAATTTTATTTATTTAACTAGGCTATTAGAAGGGTGGAGACAACGAACCAATGTACTTAAAGCCTTATTTGGCTAACAGCTAATGCAACTCATTTAGTTATTAGCGTGGAATGTTTGGTATATCATGAATAAGTTATGATATCATTATTATGATCAAAACCATCTGACAAAGCTGCATGAGTACGATATATTCGTACGTGACCAGTATTTATATTTATGTATACAATTTTATAGCTAAATGAAATCTTTTTGATATTCCCTAAAGATTACAATCAAATATAATCTGACGGGTTACAGGATGATTCTTTCTCGAGGCTTTTCTGTATCAGTAAAATAATATCCGCAAATTATCAGTCGCTGAGCATAAAAATGTTCGTATAATTAAGAAAACCAGCAAGTAGGAAAGGCAACATAGAAATGAAAAAAAATGCTTCTTTTTTATAAGAATTTGATTTTTAACGATGCAATTGCAAGATTAAGTAAAATTGTGGATTTAATCATTAATGATATTAACTATAAAAGGACTAAACACAACTTACGTGATTAAAACTGCTTTCGAATAAAGGATATGAACAAAACCAGTTCTTATAACAAAATATTGTAATTTGTATATGTTGGATTATGATTGGATTATGATTTGATTTTTTTGTTTTTGCTTTTGAGTGTCAAATAGAAAGTCATCATTATCAACATATGGTTTTCTACCTTACCAAGGGGGACTAAGCCTTTATAGAATGCAATAGAAAAGCATCAAAGTTAGCTGAAATAACAAAAAAATGGCTTTTCAACAAGCATCGTTTTTAAAGTTAAAACTGATTTAATTGCTGATAGGAATGAGTCTTAAGGGGGTATAGTTACTTCGCTGCAATATCGTTAATTTTTATGAATTTTTATTTGCGATACGGATAGTCTCAGTACAATTTTTGTTTTCCCATGTGATAATAACACCATTTATACAATATGTGTGAAAATTTGCATCCAAAAATATTAAAAAGAGTGATATAGGCAATTTCCGGCCCCACCTCCTTGCGATGCACATCGTAACTGGTCACAAAATCATCTGAATTGAAAAAATCAAATTGCATTATTTAAAGGAAAAATTTCCCCAGGTAACGGCTTAGAGTTTTTATTTTTTAATTTTTTTAGAAATTTAGAAAAGAAGCACTGTGCAAAATTCAAAACTATTCGTCCTTTGAAATGACCTACGTTCAATTGCCCATAACTTCGGAAGTTTTACCCGGATCTATCTCAAATTGTAACACAATATTCTTGAAATGTTGTTCATTTAGAAAACGAAAATTATTTATTTGCATTATTATTTTTGATTTTAGTTTTGGTCGACTTTTTCACTGTTTTTTAGGATACATTGTTGATTCATTTGCATTATTATTTTTGAAATAAATCGAAAGAGATGGCAAAGAAATTGATAATAACGGAAAACTTAATAGAATTATAGCCATAGCCAGTGCTGTTAGCGGATCGGTAAAGGAGGAGAGTTTTCTCAGACGGGCGTTATGAAAATTTCATAATAAATATGTCAATAGCTATATCAGTCTGGACCGAGGTCTCGATCTAAAAACATTCAGCAAATTGCAATAAGATTCCAAAAGTGCTAGTAACTTCACATAAAACCTAATACTCAGGATCAAAAAACAAGTTCGGAAAAACATGAATCTTTCCAATGTGACAGCATTTTTAAAAGTTCATCGGAATTAAGTGTTCTACGGTCTTACTTTCCATCGGGTTGGTTTGTTGACAAGCAGTTCAAATTCAAAAATCTTATTTTTGAGAAAGAGCTTTTAAAATTCTTAACTACCTTGGCAATTTAAATTTAACAGTTTTTTTTTAATTTACTGATAATTAATTGTAAATTTAAAGGTCAAAGCTGCACTAAGTTCAGCAGGCTATTTTTATATTTTTTTGTAGTGTTTTTCCGTCTATTTTTGACCTAAGAAAAACTTTGCTCTGACAACAGACACATCAAAAAATATTTTTTTCGTTGGGGCCTGAGGAACGTTCATCCAGACTTAATTTCAGGTGGTTGGCAACGCGAAGTAATTTTCTGGTACCGGGGTGAAAAAAAGCCTTTCGAGAAGTGTTCGCCAGCATTTTTTTTCTGAATGCAAAACATCTCGAGAATATTGTTTTAAAATTTTAGATCGATCCGAGTAAAACTTCCGTACTTATGGGCAGTTGAACGTAGGTAAGTAAGCGCGTTTTATATTCAATTTTTGGGTGTCCCAAACTATAAAACAATCTCCTGAAAAGTTGCCATTTGAAAATCGGTGTACACGATCCTGAAAAATCTATCGGACGGATCGTTTTGAGATTTTGCACAGTATTTCTCGACGTTTTTGGGTGCATTACAAAATCAAAAAAAAAAACTCAACCTGAGGAATCTTGTCCTTTAACTAATGCAATTTGATTTTTTCATTTCATATGATTCTGTGACCAGTTATCGTGTACACCGCAAAACGGGTTTTTTCGAGGCACCGCCGGAGATTGCCTGTATGTATCTCACTCAATTTTTAAAATTGAGCTGAGACTATCCGAATCGCCAATAAAAATTCTTAAAAAATTACCGATTTTGCACCGCATTAACTATTCCATATAAATTAAACAGTTCTTTTTTATAACTTACTAATAATTTTTGGTAATGTTAAGTTTACAGCTGCACTAAGTTTTCGCAATCGATTTTTCTCAAACTTCGTCAATCTAAGTACTAAGCTTTACAATGGAAAATATAATAGAAGCGCGCTGGTAAGTGTAAAGTGTAAAGTAAAGGAAAATAATATGTTCTTGTTATTTAAATTTTAACGAATATTTTATAATAAAGAACAAACGGACTTAAAAAAATTGTTTTAGCAACAAAGAAAATTAGTTCAACAATGGAAAAAATAAGTGAAACGATCTGCTTATAAATTAAAAACAACAACTTTTTCGAAGTCATTAATCTGTATTAGTGCATCTAAATCTTGAGATTGTAACAAAATTGGAGACTACTGGGACATTACTCAACTTTCTGTTATTTTTCCCATAGTATATCCTTTCATTTGGATTTAAAGATACCAAATTTATTTTTAATGGCCTCAAATGGTCTAAATCGATCTTTGCCTTGGGGTTGTAGCAGAACACCCTATTATCTTAATTCGTTTATCCTATGGAAAATTCTTTTTATAAGGAGCTTGTTTGCGTTTAATAAAAAGGGTGAGGTATTTATTTATATATTTAAAGTGTTTAGCATGTGACAATTTTAGCAGTAAAACTTTTAATTCTCACACCTTTTGTATATTGGCAGAATGTTAAGAGCTTGGAGAAATGCAATTTTATCTGATAGATAAAAATAAGACTTTCTCCCTAAAATTTGAGCCGTAAAAACATAAAAGCAAAATATAAAATTATATTGCTATAACGCATTAAAAAAACCTTACTTTTTCACGCTCTACTAGTAAGTTATTATATATTTATATTTTATTATCATTTTAGATACCCTTCACGCCGTCAAAAAGAAGGTGCCCAAGAGCACCGAAACCTAAAACAACTGAAAATGTAAACTGAATTAAGATTAAGATTTAGATTTATAATAAATACCAATAAATGAGAGAAAAAATGATAATTAAATAAATGGAAATATTGATGAAATTTTGTGTCTATTTACTGATGAAAACGAGATGAATTCCCGATGAAATTATATGATTATTAACGGATTAAAATGAGATGAATTCATTTCTATTTTGTATGAAAATTCATTAATTAATCATCACCAGTGATGATTTTTTGGTATTGATTCATAAATTAAAAGGTGATTACGGAACTGCAGGGTACCCTTACTTCTACAGACATATGCACACCTCAAGGCAATAAGTAAAGTGGATTAAAATTTTTTTTTTATAGTCAGTTACAAAGAATTACCTTATTGTATTTTAATATTTATTAACGAAAAATCTGACCAAAAAATTTAAAATTAAAACACAAATGTATTAAATTCATTGTAAATATATATATGTGCATTTTTAATAATTATTACAAATTTTTATTAAGCTAAAATTTATTCCAATTTTAATAATGTATGTGTTCCCTTTGCTTTTGAGCCTTTAATCAGGCAATTTGGCATTGAATTCATTCTGCAACCAAAGCGCACTTTACATTTTTAATAGATTCAATCTGACTTTCCGTTTTGTAAATCCTGGCTGCAAGTGGAGCTTATCAATTGGGTTTAATTCAGAAACTAAACGTCTTTGAAGCGTTGTCCTGTTGGAAAGTCCATGTATCTTCGCCTAAAAAAATCAATTAATTCGTTGTGCAGTAACTGAATACAGATTTCCGATTTTTTTTTGTTTGTTTCTTTTGGACAGCGATCATTTTCATCCGAAGAAATAACGTTCCGGGATTCTTAAGCTAAAATTTGTTCCTGCCAGCAAATGCCAACCGAGCCCAAAAGTGGCATTGCAAAAGCATCGGTACAGCCGATGCTGTAATTAAACTGTAAATTACGTTTAATGCTGTTTTAGTTACTTATTATTGCACCTGTTGTCGATGTGACTTTCTCTTACACTGCGTTTGATCTGCCCAAAGCCATTTGGATTTTCAAAAAAATTTACGACGGAAACTGGCTATACCAGTTAAAAGTTTGCAACGCAGTGAAAGGTACATTTCCGACCCTATAAAATATATATATTATTGATCAGGATCACCAGGTGAGCTGATCTAGTAATGTCCGTTCGTCCGTCTGTCCCTTTCTAAGCAAACTAGTGCTACTCGTCATTATCGTATAGCTGTCATAGGAACAATTGGAAAAAAGGAGTGTGTGTGCTAACAGTTTTAATTTGTTTTTTCTGTGTTTTTTTTGTGTACACTGTGATCTGACAACAGGCACTTTAAGATTACATTTACATGAATGTAAAAAGAAGTATTTGCCCTATGGATACGAGGAGCGCGGAGAAACTCATATTTATCGGGAAACCCAGAACGAATTAATGGATCCGGGAAGGGAAGATGAAGTCCTTGGGTCGAGACTGGTCTAATTGTTGGCAGTTCTAGTGATATGTATATGTACATATTTCTGATGCCCATTTACAGAACGCCCGTCTGAGTAGAACTTTCCTCCAGCGCCAATTCCCCAAAAGCAGTGGACAAAAGATTCTACTTGCTAATGTAACAATTTTATTGGTTATTATCCATTTTATATTGTGGAAAAAATGGTTCGCAAAACTCTTTCGCAACAACTCATTACAGCGGCTGTGTAGGGACCGTATGAGCAGGAGAATCATTGACACATGTGTAGAAGCTGCTGCACAACGTAAAAATACATATGTAGCAATGGCCTTTTCTTTACAGTATAATATTCCAATTAGCCAGTGACGGAAGTGACTAGTATTTTTAAGGATACCAAGATAGTACATTTTTGGTGAATGGCAATTGCGTCGCAATAGCCGTGGTCACACTGAGCGCAGCCTGCGGACGTGTTGGACGCGACAAACGCGCACTCCGATTCGAAAGCCCAACTATGTGTTACCGTGCGGGCCGTTCTTGACGCGGAAAAATCGATTGTGTCCGTGTGATTATTTTTGTTTTGGTTTGCGGCCTCTCGCCCCCGTAATCCCGCGCGGCCTCGGCCACATGACTCATGCCAGGCAGCAACAATGAAAAACCACAATAAGTACGTCAAATTGCCCCAAGACCTCGATTTGAGTTTCCACCGTGATTTGGACTTGCTGCCGGACACGGCGGCTGACATTGACGCAGAAATAGACGCGGATGTGGCCGCCCTCAGTGTGAACGTGCCCCCGGCTCCGGGCCTGGACGAGGACTACGACGACGAGGTAATCATCGCCCCCGGCGGGGGAGGCCTTCGACTAGCTCCCACGGCAGCGGAGGCAGTGGCGGCCCGCAGGCAGCAGCAGCAGCAGCGCAGGCAGAGGAAGCATCAACTGGAGCAGCAGCAGCAGCAAATCCTGGCCAGCAGCAAGATCTGCGGCCTGGGCAACGACAGTGTAATCGAGGTGAGTTCCTCCGGCGAAGGCAAAGGGGGATCTAGGGTAAGACTCTGTGAGATATTTCGAATACTTTTGGGGGAACTGGGTTCGAGCCGGGAGTAGGCTTCTTTCACCGCCTACAACTTGTGGCTGGTGGGGAGTCCTAGAAATAAAAACATTCTGCGAATTCGAAAGCAATCAAAAGAGCGCGTAAGCACCAGACGAAGGAGCGAAAAAATCGATAAGCGACAAAGAAATATTCTGTCATTTGTGGCAACCCCCGTGGACGCTTGCTCGGGGCTCCCCAGTCAATCCCTGTTGATTTTTTAATCGGGGAGTGGGAACGGCACGCAGGTGGGGAGACAGAGACACGGACGGATTTGTTCAGCGGAAGTGTTCTGTGTACTAATGCGATCTGATTGTAATCAAGTTTGTGTTGTCACAGTATTAAACGCTTTCTGGAGATATGGCCGAAATTAAAAATAACCAATGTGTTCTGGATAGGCCATGTCATCCATTTTCCGCACTCTAGATAATGTATCAAGAATTCCAGTGTCCTAGAAAGCCTCGGAGCAACCCTGGAAAATCAATCGAAAGGTCCTTAATTCCGCCTTCGCAGCTTGTTAATAATTCAGCTTGATGTGGCCACAGGGCAATAACTGTGGTACCAACGCTCTTTTCAATCAATAATGCGTCAACCGTGTCAATCATAACCCTGTTCCCCTTATTGACCCTAAAACATGGTTAATTGAGTCACGATGTACTAAGATTTGGTCGGCAGGTGCAAGCACCGCACCACGTCCACGGTGTAATTGTTGTTAGACTTCTAGCCTGAGTGGAAAGCTTCGACAAGCTTGTCAATCTCTTTGGAGCTTATTCTGTGGGCTCTGCATCTTGCAGAGGCGTACTAAATTGATTTTGTAGTGGCACGATGATGTTTCGACGCAATTATTTTGTGTTTTAAGACAAACGATTGGCTAGTAATAGAACACACCTATTATTTTTAAATCAATCATTTTTCTCGCTTATTCTATTTTATTTTTAGCTACTAACACGTAAATGTCGCTTTTATGGATCAATTCGCAGTCTAGAAACAAATTACAATTTAACAAAAAATTAACAAAAAAAAATTTCACAGGAACTCGATATTTGGGTGCTCCTGAGTAATAGGTCCACACAAACGACTGTTCTATCACCCACCGGTGATCGATTTTGTGTTCCTGTGTTAAAGAATTTTTAGTGTTATTAGACAACAAAATTGTCTACAAACACGACAATTAACAAAAATTTGCTATGCTCCAAACGATTTGGCACGTGC